CCGGGCGCGAGATTGCTATTAGAGGTGAAAAAAGGCGCGCCCGATCGGGCGCGTGTATATTTAGGAGACGATTAGCGTCGTTTTAATTTGTTTTAGTTTAGGATTTTTGTACGGAGTATAAATACTCCTCCGTAATACGATTTTAGTACCTCTTCTTTTTCTCTTAATCCTTTCTCTTAGACTTTCTCTCTCTACTTAGTCTTCTCTCTCTAAACTCTCTCTCTAAACCTTTGTTATTAATTCTTTAATTAATTCCAGATTTATTTTGGTAATGATTTCTCTTCCCTTAATCTTAGTTATTTATTTTATTTCTTTCATCATGATTTATTCTATTATTTTGTTTAGTTTAGTTTTTAATATGTGTGAGTAGTTCAATTTCTAGGGTTTATGGGGATCTAATAAATAATATGAAGGGGTAAATTATTGTTGTTGATTATCACCCCACTTGCTATTCCACTAACAATGCCATGTACTTTTTTTTTATATATATAAAAATAAATCTTTCTCTCAATAATTGTGGCTATCCATGTGCACATTTATGCTTTGTTTCATTTAAAAAAGGTAAAGTGAAGGGTTTTGGACAATCTTTTAAGGATAAATTCTATTGTTTAAAAAAAAAAGCAACGTGTCAACTCGTAATTTTGATCAATAATTATATATTGAAACTCACCGATAATGTATATGTCAAACCGCTATAGCTAACATCTAATTGCTAAATTAAACTAGGTCTATAATTTAATTTAAATTGTTTATGCTGATTGTCTCTCTTTATTTGTGAATAAGTGCAACTATTTGACTTTTGGACTATTCACATAATAACTTTGATTTAATTTGTTGGAATTTAAATATATAATATCAACTATTTTAAATATTTAATAACCAAATGTCATTGTGTGAACTTCCTTTGTATTTGTTTAGGTGAAACATTTTGCTCCTTGCACTATTAACCTACTCTATTTTTTACTAATGTTTGTGATTTATAAATAAGAAAAAATCTAGGCATGTGATTACTTGTTGGAATTATTTCAATAAATAGATTATTATTAATATTCAATTGTTATAATTTTTACTTATTGATAATTAAAGATATTATTGGTCAAAGTTTTTCATTGGCATATATACGTGTAGGCATGTGATTAGAATGATTTCCATTGATCAATATTTATAGGGCTACAATGAGAATCCTAATCATCTTAGTTAACTAACAAGATATCATAAGATATCCTTATATAAAATATATCCTAAACTTAGGATACGAATATTCTATGAATATTTTCTATTTACATCCCCGCAGCCGAGGCGGGAGAAAATCGAATGCTCAAATTGAATTTGAATCACACATCAAAGGTTAAGGATAGTATGGTAATCCATGCTAAAAAAAGAAGTTGTAGACATGTGCCGGATTGCAGGGTGATAACGATTAGAAGCAACAACCAAGACCTACGTATAGTAGATTAGATAAGCATTGCTAGGCCGGAGGAGAAGAAGAAGAAGAGTCGTGCACAGACTTGGGCCAAAGTTGCAGATCCAGAGAAGAAGAAGCTAAGGTAACTGTAGGGAATATTTTCAAGCCTTAATCCCACTAGCTCGAACCCCACTATGATCATACACTAAAGTACGGTGGCGTCCCAAAAGGGAAGAAGATAGAGCAAAAGAGTCGCCAACAAGTTTTTTTAGGAACTTGTAAATCGTTCATAGGATGAAGGTTACACCCCTTAACGATCCAAGATATCGTCAACTCCATAAGGTCTAGAACTAAATAAGGGTTCGGGGATGATGGTACAAATCCAACCTAAAAGAGATTGAACCTGCCCTAATAATAGGCCTCTACTTTATTCTGATCGTACTCATGTGCGCTTTTTAATTAACATACAATCAATAGATTAACCCTAAACCTGTTTAATCTATGTTGGTTGAATATTAATGCACACATAAACTATTATTGGTGATCACTTGAATTATAATCACAATTAACCCTAAACAAGATTATCATTTATCTTATTAAGCGTGATTACAAGTACAAATTCCCTTTAACATGCATAAAAGGTGATCAAGAAATAACAATAACGTATCAAGCAACATAATAAATAACCATAACAATAATAATAATCGTTATCAAAATAATAGTAATAATAATATTCATAATCATCATAAATTATAACAATTATAATCATAATCATGTTCATGTTAATATTAAAGCATAATAATAGCAAGATCCTAGGCATGATACTAACAAGATTAATAGCAAACCCTAGCATGTCACTAAGCAATAAAAATCAAGTCTTTAACCCTAACATGATACTAACAATCATAAATATTAGGGAGAAAATAGGAAGCATCGTAACAATCATATTTAATATTAAAAATACCGTAGACATGATACTAGGAATATCATAATAACAATGTAAACATGATTTCTACATCATAACCTCAATAAATCAATTAAAGTACTTACTTTGATGCTTCGTACCTCTTTCTAATAACAAAATACACACGTTAGTAACTTCAAGGAAAATAATAATCAAACAATCAAATTAAATAATTGAAAGAGAGATTTGGGACCAAACCCTCAGAAATTAAAACCTTTCACATCTAGGGCGAAGACAACTTCGAATATGGCTAGGTGTTTCTTGATCTTGTGAATGCGGAATTTTGTATGAAAACAAAGTAAGAAAGAATTGAATGTTTTAGGAGATGAATGAATTAGAGAATGCTAAAGAATTAATGATTGTTCATGAAAGCTTGCGAATGAAGAGAATTGGTGAATGAAAACGGAGTTTTTGATACGATATTTATAAAGAAAATCAGCCAAAAAAGATAATTTAACAAAACAGAGTCTGACGCTCAGGAAACAGAGCTGGCGCCAACCCTGGCTAGCTGGCGCCAGTCACCAATGGCTAGCGCCAGGCGCTAATGGCTAGCGCCAAGCCTGGTTCCACGCGCCAAGGCCTGGGGTTGGACGCCAAACTTGATTTCAACACGTTTTCGAAAATCTGATAAATTTCCCGTACTGGAGGATAAAATAATATAATTTCTTCGAAAATGCTATTTGATTTTGATTAAAACTCTGAAAAGTCAACAAAGTCAACTTATCAATGCTAATTGAATTAGGAATGAAAAGAACCTTCTAGAAGATTAAAACCATTCCTAATTGCATTAGGAATGATAAATCATATTAGGCCCTCCCCTAGATCATTGGGCCGCACATAAGGCTCAAAACGGGCCCAGTTTAGTAAATTGGCCATAACTTCCTCAATATTCATCGGAATTGGGCTTATAATATATCGTTGGAAAGCTCTTGTCAAGCCCCATCCAACTAAACCATTATTGGACCCATATCATGGACCAACCAAACTAGATTGACTGTTTTCTTAAAATAAAGTTTTCAAAAAATAGAGAGAAAAGAAAAGAAAATAAAAAACTTTCCGCAACACTAGACCTTCCACACTTTTGTTTCATTCGATTATGATTCGACGTGAAAGGTACTCATCACTGGGTTTGGTTTTGGGGAGACACAAATGGGCGTCTACAGTAACAAACCATCATAAGAGTGAAGATACTAAATTACTACGAGAAATCACATTTGAAGAAAAACAAATAAGATAGCCTAAATCCCGGCCCACACCACTTGACCATTAGGAATTATATACCTCTAAAAAAAAGATGACCCACACAACAAGATAAATTCCACTAATTTAAAACAAGTAGCCTTTGGACTTAGAAAGACGTAATCCATCACATACACTTACGATAAAATTAATTTTTTTTTTTAAAAAAAAATTCAAAAAATTGGTGCTGCTGCATAAAATCTAACACATGCCTCTAAGCTGTAATGTACGTATTTAAACAAGGCTCCAAGTCCAACTAAGGTGGTGGGGGACGACTTTGCTGGTGTTGTTGTTGTTGTTGTTGGTGAGGAATATTCCGGCAACAACAACATCGAGAAAAAGAAGACTAACAAAGTGGTGGGCTATCTTGTGGGTATGGTTCATCCAAGACTACTATTTGTCATAGGATACGCTATGCAAAATTACAATTCACTCACAAATTAGACTAATGAAGGAGGACTGTGAGTGAGGAAGGTGTGGCGTATTAATTGGAGAGCCAAGAGGTAGAGGTGGTGCACGAATCTCCTAAGTGTGGTGGGAAGTCAAAGTACAAGAAGGGTTGTCGGTGCTAGTTAACCATCATACTCCATAATTAAATCGCGGGAAGCAAAAAAAATGTGTTTTTGTGTAATCATTTGTTAATCCCGTTGGTGGGTTTAGATTTCAACAGAAATTTTTAGATCTAAACAATCCCAAGATCTAACCTAAACTATGATACCATGTCAGATAATATAAGATTCCTTGATCAAAGTGAGTTCCATTTTTCAATATATATAAGGTTACAATAGGAGGCATAATCGAGGGAACCCCAATTAATATATGGGATTACATAAAGTCTTATATGTGGCTGGCCACACCGTGTGACAGGGGTTATTTCGTAGTTTAATAGGGGGTACTTGATCGGTGTTAAAGGAGTTACTCCGTCAATGTTATTGGGTTACTCGGTTAGTGTTATAGAGGTTACTTAGTCAGTATTATAGGGGTTACCTAGTCAGTGTTACATGGGTAACTTTGTTCTTTTATAAGTGGTCACACGGTATGGCTAGCCACATACAAGATAGGTTGTTGTGATTAACATTCCAAGTTAATCTCCTCTCACAACTTTATGCATATATTTATGTGCCACTTTACTTTTTTACTTTTATTATTTATGGAAAATAAAAGTAAAACAATATATTGTGAGAGGAGATATATATTCATGTTTATCTCATAGATAAACTTGAATTTTTCCGTCATGATCATATTAGGTAACTAATAAGATATCATAAAAATATTCTTAACAAAATTGATCCTAAACTTAAGATAAGAATATTCTATGGGTATTTTCTATCAGTGCACAAATAAAGTCAAAATCTGATTAAATTAATATACCACAAAATTCAATAAATTAGATCAGATTTTTTGTATAAATTAGGTGATTTGAACCTAGCCTTAATTTGTAGAAAAGTCAGGATTTATTTTGAAACAAAGAGAGTACAATGTACAATCGCTTTTGAAGTGCAAATTTTCCATACATAGCATACCTTATTGATCGCGGTTATATTATAACCTCTCCAAATCTATTCTATGGTTACATTTTTACCTCAATATTATATACGTAGTTAAAGTTGTGCATTGGAGATTGTAAAAGTCAAATTGTAACATAAAAAAAGCGACAGATAAAGTATTATACACGAAATACATTATGAGTACTATAAATAAATGCATTGACAAACGTGAAAATTTAAGTATCACACAGACAAACTAAAAATAAACCCAACAAATGGTTGAGAAACATTAAAAGTAAAAAAGAAAAAAAAAAGACAATTTTGAAAAAAAAAAAACAAAGGAAAGAATGAGTTCTTCCTCCTACCTTTCCCCTCTCCAACCATCTTAGGCCGCCACCACCACCACCACCTCTTCCGCCGCCGCTACCACCGTCATCTCTGCCGCAACACCTCCTTCTTTTCCTTTTCAATCAAAAAATTCTCTTTCTTCCATCTTTGTTCGATCCAGTGAGGCAAATCCGACGGAAATTGGAGCTCCGTTTTAGTGAAGAAGAAAGCAAGGTTTGTTTTTATGGTTTTTTTTTTCTTTATTTTCTCTATGAATTTGAACTGGGTTTTTGATTTTTTTCCATTTTAAAAGCATTAATGGGTAGCCTAGATTTAACCCAGAAAGATTAGTTTATTGTACTAATTTAAATCATTTTATCTGATTTGGGATTTTTTTTTTTTTTGGGGTTCTGACGGTGTGAGAATCTTGGGAGGCTTCAATTCAATTGATTGCGGCTTCGTCGGAAACGGGATGCTATTTCTTAGATTTACATTTTATTTTTTTTTTTTATTTTTTTTTTCAAATATTTTTCTCTTCGATTTTTTTTGTTATATATTTTTTTTTGTTATTAAAGTTTTTTCAATTAGTAATGTGAACCAATTTTGCCTGCATTTATGCCTCAAAATGAAAGGGAAACTACTCCGTAGAATTTATCAATTTAGTGCAAAGTAAATGTTACATTAAGTTCATTTTTAGACCCTTAAAATGTCTAAGAATTGTTATTGGGTAGTTGAAGAAATAAAAGGTAAAGAAAGTTAGCAATGTAGTTCATATGTGTGATGGTCCATTGGTCCTATTCCAATTATAAGCATGCTAGGGAAGAGTTGTTAATTCGGAACATTCGCATAGCTTCCGAGATTTGTTGTCAAGAACCCTTCTAAATGATGTGATGGACTTGGATTTACAGGTAGAATGTAGCTAACAAATTGGCGATAAGTATAAATACTATTGCTATGTATGCATTAATACGTAATATAACTTTTTTTTTCGTGGTTCTAATTGGGTTTTGAATCGAATAAATGTATAGCGTTGCTAATAGTTGCTTCAACTTCGTAAGAATAAGAGGACTTGTTTATGACCATTTCATTATCTATGATGAGAAGTTGTGATAAAATATGCTTTCTTTTTTTTGGAATTGCCATAGGAAGGTGTATTATAAATGTCACAAATATAGTTAAATAGATTAGGTTTGGTTGGTTCTATGCTCTTGTCTTTCTCTACATGTTAAGATGTGTAATCGCTTATGTTCTTTGTATGTAGTGCTCTTTTCCTATTTTTTTTCCTCTCTATGTACCATGTTTGCTAGTTGAGGGGGCTGGGGAGGTAGTATAGGCTACTGCATAACTTTTTATCATACACAAAATGTTAGTTGAGATTGATCAAAAGATGAGGATTCTATGTTACATGAAATTGGTGATGACATGCGGCCTTTATACAAGATTAATCTACTCTAATGCTAGTGTATATATGCAAGATGTTAATCAAAACAGATTGCCCTTCAACAACGTCATTACCATACCCCACTTGCAGCATTGAGTAATTGTGTTTACGTCATGTTCATAGATGAACCTTGCTAAGTGTATTCAAGATAGTTTTTGATGTGGTATTTACTCACAGAAAAGTATCAATTGTTGAAGGGAGTTATTGTGGAAAAGCTGTTTTACGCAGGTATGAAGTGGTATGAAGTGCAGTCGTACAGAAAAATCGATGATGTTTATGCAAAACCCACCATGTTTTATGTTAGAATGATGTGGCGAATCTTGTTGGCTCCTTTTTAAGAAAAGAATTTTCTGTTTTCTAATTTAGCTTTGTTTTCAAATGTGAAATTTTCATACTGGTTAACATGATTGTGTATTTGTGTTGGTAAGTGCAAAAAATATCATATACAGTAAGAATATAAATAGAGTATAACATACTTGTATGCATGTATTAATTTTTTTCTTTCTTTTTTTCCCAATAATGGGAAGAAGTGTAGTCACATAAATCTACAAGAAACACATAAGGAATTGTTTATGAAATAGTTTAAGGATGGGAAATTGGTTCTACTTGTTGCGTACTTTGGTCTGGCGGTGGATCTAGTAGTACACTAGGTATACATGTAATGTGATTGGAGTGGTAAAATAGTATTGTGGTACTGGTTCTGTATTTTGTCTTAGTGGGTTGTGACAAATAACTATATGTGCTTAGCTGGGATAGTTGATCTTGTTTCTTTAGAATATACTTCGATGAAAATTTCTTTACTTAATGCATTGCTGATAAAATGATGTGAGAGTGAGAATACATAGTTCCTGCAATGTTACTTGAAACAGCAAATATGCTGGCCTGTCCTTTCTCTATGGGAACCAAGTGGTGATAGAGCTGTTTAAAGTGGTGTACCTCTAATTCATGGCTGTCTGAGTAGTATTGTGTGAAAAGGGGCCCTTTGGGTCCTTGTTCCCCTTGTTGCATTAAAGTGTATAGGATGATTTCCTCATCCGCTAGCTCATCAATTGTACTCGATAACAGAACAGCTGCGCTCTTTTCACCTTAAAAGAAAAAAAAAAAAGTTTCAGGGGAGATTAGTTCAAAAAGGCTCCGATAAGCTGCAATTCTTTCTGAGGGGCTTCCCTAGTTCAATTCACTAATAATTATAAGTAAGTTCTGATAAGTTTAGAGAAAGGTTTTTAGGTGAATTAAAGGAAATCAAATCATAATGGTGTATTAGAATCACAGAATGGTCTCTCCTGGACGGAGGGTATATGGAAACAAAAAATTTCTCTGCTTCTGCAGGGGTAAGCTGTATATCTTACTACATCCGACCCTTGCATAATTGGATTCTTGTTTGCTGGTGGTTTTGTTGTAGTGGCTTATGAAGTTTGACTACTTTGTTGCTTTAGCTACTATTTGCTCACTTTTTGTTTAATGAGCTAATCTATTCTTCTTTTTCATAAATATATTGGACTGGTTGGATCAGCTGATTAGGAGTTAATTAAGGATTGGATAATTTGGTCTACAGCTGAAGGCTTGAGCAGCATATTGTGTGGAATCAGAAACATTCTCCAGCATTACAAAATTGAATCTGGTACTTTTTAGTTGAACTCAACAAGATTTTCCATTTGATTTGACAACATGCACATGTACAGACATCTTGATTATTGTGAATATTGGGAACCAGCAAGTTACTCCAACTTACTAAATATTAATCATCTGGGTATCAATGTTTAAATATAACTAGGCTGCAGTTTGATACATTCGCCATGCACAAGCCAAAGAAAAGAAATCTGCAATCACCTCAGAAGTCAGCAGACTGGTTAGAATATATTAATGATTGCCTGCCTGCACTAGTAATACCTGTTGGTCCTCGATTTCAAGCTGATGTGCCAGAATGGACGAGTGCATCTAATCATATGTACGAAAATGGTGATTTGGATACTTCAAAGTGGTTAGGTACCAGAGTTTGGGCCTTTCAAAATGATAGTACAGATTCAGGAGGTAAAATAGGAAAGGGAAGGCCTGAATCCTGCTCTTGCTCTTCTCCTGGTTCTTTACAGTGTGCAAAACAACATATTTCGGAAGCAAGAGCAAGGTTGCAATCTGACCTGGGCCCTGCATATAAGAGTTGGAAGTTTGACGAGATGGGTGAAGATGTTGGCAAGTCCTGGAGCTCAAAACAGAAAAAGAAGTTTGATAGCCTTGTCTGTGCAAATCCGTTGTCACATGGTAAGAGTTTTCTGCAGCCAGCCGAATCATCCTTCCCATCTAAGACCAGGAAAGATATTGTCAGTTATTATCTGAATGTATATGTTCCTAAGCGCATTAGCATAATAACTCGGTTGGGATATATAGTGCTTGATAGTGATGATGACGAGGTGGAGGAAGCCCCAAATACCAAGAGCTCTCAGAAAAGACCGCGACCCAATAGTGATGATAGTACAAAACTTGCCAAGTCCCACTACTTGACTGGGAGAAGATGACACACCGGACCCAGTGTCTTACTGAACAACTCTTTACAGGTTTCCTTTTAGTTCAGACTTCAGAGGATTCCCCCTTTTTTGGGTTTTTGCCTGTAATGGTTGCACATTACAGTGCAAAAATAGCGAAACTAGGAATAGCAAAATTTAGGCCTGAACTTTGTGATTATACACCCTAACGGGGATTTTCTTGCGGCAAACTCGTCTCAATGTTGAGAAAGCTGTGTGCATCTAGGAAAGTCAAGCTGCACAGTTTTGTGACACTATTTTTTTCTGCTCATATTGTGCTGGTAATAGAAACATCCTTGTTCTACTGCAAATTTATCGTCTACAACCTGGTCTCACCCCTTTCCCCCCTTTTCAATGAAAACTCCTCTTGTGCGGAAGTAATAGTAACATTGAGAGCATGTTTAGTAAGAGTGATATTTTGGTTAGAAACGGATTTATCATTAGAGTGTTTGGTTAGATGGTTTGGGTAATAGTTTTCACCTATTTATGTAGTAGAGTATCATTTTTCTAAAACTTAAGGTAATTTCCCTTACCTTCCTCGGAGAAAAAGAGAGGGAGTTAGTTTAGGTATTTCATCTTCATGGTTAACCCAAACAAATGAAAAAGTAGTTAGATTATTCTTTTTCTCCCTCTTATTTGCTTTTTTATCATTTCGTTTTCAATGTTTATAACAAACACCCCATGATAGTGTACATGACCTAAATGTGATCAGTAAAATGTGATCAGTAAATCCGGACATAGGTAGTACTAAGGAATTATTTTGCATTGTACAGGGAAAGATGAAGTGAATCTAGTGCTATACTGGCTATGTTAATGCTCAAACTAGTATCACTTCCGTGCCCAAAAATTCGCTACTTTGCAACTGTTTTGGAATAAGAGGTTTTTAAGCTTTGAACAGGATGAGAAGATCTAGGGTTCTGAAAATAACCCCAGAACAACGTCAAGGTTGCCCTTTATAATCGAAAAATTTTAGCTGGCATATACAAATGTTACAATCATCATACAGTACAAGGAATGGTTTAAAACTAAAAAGGGTGAAACAGACATTTTTGTATTTAACTGTTTGTTAAACTATGAACGTTTGTTTTGTTTTTCTCGGACTCGTTGAAAAACTTGGATTAACCCATGTCATATGCCACGAAATTGCACTCCTCCTGTCATCTGCTGCATCATCTCACTTCACAAAATCACAACCTCATACTCCCTCCCATCCCATTAGATTTGCTCATTCAACCCTTTTTGTACGAGTTTTTGGGGTCAAATAGAGCGATCTTAGTGAGATTGAGAGAGTAATAAAAAAGAGTAGCCTCTGAAAAAATATTTTTTTTGCTAGTTAAATTGATAGACCAAATCACCAAGAATAGTCAGTAGTTCAGTACTCAGAGCCTGCCTGAGTTAAAGAAACCTCACTTAATAAATTGTATTTTGCAAACCTCAGCCCCAAAAATATGAAAAAACCAACATAACACAATGCATGTTACAATTACTCCGTTTGAACAATGAAAGCGTCGCCAAACATCATTACACTAAAAGATAATAAATCACACAAAAGCAAAGCATACAATCACATAAGAACAATTGTTAGCATAATTGAGATCATGATCATGTTATTTGAAAATGCATCAAAGTGTTTTAAAAGGTAAATTACTAATAAGTTTTATAGTAGAAGCAACATGAAACAAGATTACAAGTGTCTTTACAGAATGCCCTGAAACTGAAAACTCATATCAACATATACTGCTCTATTGTTTCAGTAATCAGTATTACAACCTTAATACACTTCTAGCCAAAGATTTTGAGTTCTTCAATCTACTTTTTCCTAACCTATTTCTCCTACGGCTCCTCAATGGCGTCAAATAAAATCGTAACAAGCCATTATCGAGGGGGTGATTAGGTGAGTTAGTGTACCTAGCGCTTCGATTCCTCTGTAAAACAACAGGTTCCTGCCTACTCCTAACAATGGCCTTTGATTCGTTCCTACTTGCTACTCCACCAACTGAACCAACTATCGTGGAAGAGCCTCTAGAGCTCGATGTGCTATGGCTTCGTGTAAGTTTCCTTCCACGGATGTCTGCAGAATCAGCATCAGGACTCTCTGAATGTTCTCTATCGCCTTCTTCGTTCCCAAATTTGTCTCCCTTTTTTCGATTTAGCAATCCCCAAATACTCCACAACTTGCTCCATTGGCGACATTTCTTGAACCCCTTCCCATTACTGCTGCTAGAGACGGATGCAAGGTCTTTAGACGCCGTCTCAAAGCTCTCTGAGCTATTATCATCTCTTAAAGAACTCGAATTCAACCTCCATTCATTCAACTCTTTCTCAGTTATGAGCAACTTAGTCCCATTAAAGATCCCAATAGCAGCAGGTGAAACCCTGGCATTCGATATTCCCTTAGCTTCAACATCCTCAATCACATTCACCCCCACATCCCTCCTTACTGAGCTCGCAGATCGATCAAACCCATTCCTCCACCTCTCCCTATCACTCCCACTCTCCACCTTCGTCTTCCCTTCACTCAATACTCGATTATCAAACCCGTAAACTGTAGCCATAGCATTCTCAATAACCGAAACCATAGGGGCATTTCCATTCGCATTACCACGAGACAATGCTGCTCTCCCACCTAGCATATACCCGTCCCAAGACGCCCTCGGAGCATCAAACTCACTCCTCCCCACCTCATCAATCGACATTCTACCACAATCAACCGATGCCCTCCCTAAATCAATTGAAAACCTAGGGTCTGTATCACAAGACCTCCTCCCAAACCCACCACAATCAATCGAAGCTCTACCTAAATCAATCGAGCCTCGAGGATCGGTATCACAAGACCGCCTTCCGAACCCATAATCACCAACCTCTGATTGAGTATCCCTCAACCTCCTCCCTCTCAAATTCTCAAGCTTCATCTCCCCCAAACCAACACCACCATTGTTGCTTGTTCTTCCATTACAATCACTATTCTCTCTCTTCTGCTTCTTCCCCCATTTTCGAAACTTCTTACTGAATACAGAAGCAGCAATCCAGAAACTTCCAGCAATTTCCTTAAAATCCTTCTTATTACTACTATTTTTAGCTTGCAATTCAAGATCTATAAACTCTTTCATAGTCCTATTAGCTTCCTCAAATTCATCTTCTACATTTCTAAAATTAGAAACCCTAGGTTTAACTTCTACTTGTATTTCACCTTCAACTACTTCAATCTCTTCCTCCTCGGGAACAGGACAAGTACCTTTACTCAAAAACCCTAAATTCCTCGATTGAACTGAAACGACGTCGTCCTCTTCATCGTTATCATCATCAATATCAAACAAAGACGACAACGATTTCCGACCACGAACATCGCAAGATCTCCGGCGAGGCTCCATTCCGATGACAACATCACAGTTCTTCGCTGAGAAAGTCTTGCACCGCCGTAACTCCGGCAAAACTCCGGCGGAAGTAGCAGCAGAAGTTGAAGCTTCACCGCTGCAAGAAGAAGATGGGTTGAGGAGAGAGAGTCGCTCCCGAAGACATGGCGCACAAAGACCAGTAGTAGTGGGAAGATTAGGGTGACGATGGCATGGAGTAAGACGGCGAGGTTTAGGGTTTGGCGGTGGTTGCGCCATTGTTGAAGGTAGAAGAAGTTTACGCCATTTTTGAGGAGAGAGAAAATGGTGTTCTTTGCTTTGAGAAAGGGGAAATCTAAGTTACAGCTTTCACTTGGTTAGAGGTTTTGGTTTCATTGGATTCGTAAATTTTTGGGGTTTTTTTTTTTAATTTTTAATTTTAAATTTTGATTTTTTGGGTTTTTTGAGATTATTTTTGCTCTAGTCGTTTCTTTGTGTGTGTCTTGTTTTTCTGTGGAATTTCTGACTATCTCGTGCTGTCTGTAGGGATTTATTATTTGTTTATTTATTTGCACTTTAAAATAAATAAATAAATAAATAAACCATTTGTTTATTTGTAGTGCGAAATACAAATAATAATGTTATTTGTTGTTGTGATTTATTTTGGATTTCTAGGGTGTAGGGTGGTCTAGATTAGCATCATCAAATGATCATATGCACGAATGGTTTTTAGGCACTAATGAGTGTAATGAGGACAATTCTACTAAAGTGTGGTCTTAATAATGTGTACTAAATCTACTAATCATAGCACACTATTGTTTTATGACAATTGATTTTTGTTGTCATATTGATTTGAATAATGAGATTTGAACATGATTATTAGAATTAAATGGTTAATTTGAGTCGAGTTTTATTAAACTTGAAATTGAACTGATTTGAAGATTAATTGGTATAAGACTCCTATCAAATATATATTAAATACAAATTAAAGTTGATATATTAGGTGGCTCACTAGCATGGCACAATTTGCTAATCCGGTATGCGGGATCGGATCATGCATGAGCTTTATTTATGAAAGATCAGCACAAGCCTGACACAACACAATTGTTTTTTGACTCGCTTTAAATACGACCTATTTGAACACAACACACACTAGAAGGTCTTCAGCGGCATGTACCTAACAACCACAACCCCCATGTTTACTACATATACTAATCTAGATTAGTTAAATAAAACCCATTTAACCATCTTTTTATCATCCGTTACTTGTTAGCTAATACAAGTAATGGGTTAAAGAGTTAAGTGGTCACAAATTACTTGCTACCAGTAACAAAGCTACTATGGAGAAAGCGAAAGGAACAATTGAAGCAAGTAAGGAAGAATCAGAAATTGTATCCAAACTTGATGTTCATCCTCATCGTCCTAATCTCGATTTCAGTTTCTATGAAGATTTCACCTTACGCGGTATCCGAGTTGACCGAGTTCAACCCCAACTCGTCGTCTGTTCATTCAAGGTTCCTCCTAGACTCACTGTAAGTTTCATTAAAACCCCATTTCTTTCTTGTACAAATCAATTTAACTGATAATGATTTACATGGGTATTTCAATTTATTTTCTGGGTTTTATCTATTTGTTTTTATAATCTTGGAGTGACTTTGATTGGGAAAAAAAAAAAAACCAAATTTATGATTGTAGTTTGAATTTCACCTGATATGTCAGAAATTCTATGTAATTCATATATTAGAGCAACTTAATAGATCAAAGAAGTTTCAATCTTTACAATTTATGAGATTCAATGCTGAAATGTTGTAACAAGAAAGAAGCTAAAAGCTTTAAATGTCTGTTATATATAGTGGCAATTGATAAGTAATACATGTTTGATTCCTCTATGGTGCAGGATAGAAATGGAAATTTAGCATCCGGCGCGATTGCTAACCTTGTTGATGAACTTGGTGCAGTGGTTATTTACAGAGAAGGACTTCCAATGAATGTATCTGTCACCATGTCTATCTCCTATGTGTCAACTGCCAAAGTTGATGTATGTGTAACTTCAATTCTTGAACTTCTTGTAATTGTTTATCATGCTTGTACTTTGGTTTGTTGTATGAGTGACTTGTGATGGTTTGCTTCGTTATGAATGTTAACATGAGCTAATTTGGCTTGGGCAGTGCCAGATCAAATTGGGCAGGCAAAGATTAATTTGACTCAAGAAATATTGTTCCTTTCTCTCTTACCCCTTTACATGTTAGCATATTGTTATACAACATTCTGGGTTCAGTTCTACTTTGCAGAAATAGCCCTGTCTTAATCAAGTTAACATTTATTTAGATATTGACAAAATTCGAATTCTATTTACTTCTGTACATGCGAATTATCCATCCAGATTACATTAGTTGAATTTTATCGTGATTTGCTCTGGTTTTATAGAATATCAAGCAACTCAAAGGGCTGTATTAAGATTGGGGGGGGGGGGGGGGTTCTGGAATTTTCTAATCGAACTTTTGCATTTGGTTGGTATTGCATCTGTAAAATGTTTTTGTATCAGTTGTGTGGTTGTTGGTGTTGTAGCATTAGTTTAGTGAATTTATGACATGATGTTCTGTTTTCTATGATTTGGGTTGCTGGTTGTATATTAATAGATTGATATGATTATATGAGAAATAATCTACTTGGGTTTGTGGGTTTGAAGAACAAACTTTTGTTAGGCATTGTTTTAAGGATGGTAACGAGTCTTTGTTGCCTGGAATCTTGATAAGTGAATGTTCTTTGTAAAGCCTTTTCTTTTATTAAGTGGATGTTTTTCTTTAATTTATGTTACCATTCATTACCACCTCTGTTGGTTGTAATGAATTACGACTATATTGAAAAACAATGAAGAAAACAGATACACAAGCATTTAAAAGTAAACACAGATACATTACTAGGAGTTTAGCACATCAGAATTTCCTATAGAATGGACAATCAGTGCAAAGCATAATTCAGTAGCAACTAACACTCGTATATTTTGTAGGATGAGCTAGAAGTTACCTCAAGGCTTTTGGGACGAAAGGGGTCTGTTTTTGGAACCACTGTTGTGCTCAAGAATAAGGCTACCGGGGAGACTATTGCTGAGGGTCGACATACTCTATTTAGCAAACATGGTAGCAAAATTTGATCTGAACAATGTGTGCCGATTCATGGAAACAAAGTTTGATATGGTAATAGCCTCTAGGAAGAGTTGGAGGCTCTTGGAAGATAAAGTTGTCATGTTAAGTATTGAATTGGCAAATGTGTAGAATATAACGTATTTTTGTAAATTAAATCTCTTTTGTTTCTTCTACTTGATAACCAAATATTATTTCATTATTCTGTCCTATGTTGGATACAACAAGGAATTTTATTTCTTATTTGAGTGCATTTTTTCACGTAATTAACACATATCTAAACTTATTAGACCTTATTTTATTTGAGTATTATTTTTTCACGAAATTAGAAAATAAGGTAAACAAAACAAGGCCTTATTTTATGTAGGCATATTCCCGTGATCATATAGAGAATATTCAAAAGAGCTCAAACATGAATTTTGAGAACTAACTTTGGATGTTTTTTTTGAAACAAACTTCATATGTTATATGTTACAGAAGTAATCCTGTCAAATTAGTAAAAAAACAACAAAGAAACTTTGAGCAAAAAATTAAATAAAACATTGCTATTAATTAAAGTTTAACATATCATAAAAAAAGGCCATAAAAGCAAAGTATTCAACTCCATTCAACTTCCACTACTAATAAATGATGGACTTGTGGCTTTTGCCCTTCGATTTTCTTGGCACATATCATAGTTGAACCTTCAGGATCAAATTTTAGCTCACCTCTGATTGTCTCTTCTATTTTACCTCCAACCTGAACATGTAATTTCACATCCAAAATCAATTTAGTACTAGATTGTACAGCGACTAAATCTTTTGACAATGGTATGTCAATTGCTAATAATCAGAATTTGATGATCTTTGACCACACCACTCCACAACTTCTGACTTTTCCTTTTTAAACAACATGCTTCGATAAAATTTCTTTTCGTAGTTTGTAGAGCACCTGTACTCACTATACCTAGCATAAATACTCCCATAAACTTCAAATGGAGAATTTAAAGACAGTAGTCTGACACGAACTCTTGCAGATACTGCTTCATGGAAGATCACATAATGCACACAGGCAAAACCGTGTTCACCTGTAATAACAGAGGATATGCGCTTGTCATACCACATATGTGTTTTATGAGGATGCCACTTCATACAACCGTTACTGATTTCACGCCCTCCTACATCCTTCAGGTCAAGATGCATAGCAAAGTAACCATTGTCGGCCTCATAACAATTACAAGGCTTTAGCAACGATATAGGCTTATAGGGAAACACTGCTTCAGGTTTCATTTCCTCTCTCTCGAAGATAAGATAACCTTTAAACTCATTTTCAAAGCTGATTGTTTCATACTTGATTGTTCCAGAGACACTCAAAGTACATTCATGACTAAAAGAACCAACATAAACAGAGAACACCTCAACAAGTTCTCGAGAAAATTGTTTTGGCCAGAACCTGAAAATTCAAGAATAGTTCCCAAGGCAATTATTATTCATCTCAAACAATCAGAATCTATATTGATATAGTACAAGATAACAAAGAACATTAAGAACACACACAACACAATAATAATAGAATAAAAATGCATGAGATAACTCAAACCAGTGATCTTTTTGAATAAATCATGTAAAGTATCATACGTTCATACCTCTTTTGTTGAGATTCCTCAATGGTACTAATTCCCCGAACCAAAAGATTTTCATCATCACTACCCGAGGACCCATAATCATCTTCATATATTATTTTATAATTATCATAGCTTATTAGCTCACCAATAAACTCATACTCATCTATATCCCGAAGGCAACCATATGGATGGATAAAAAACAATCCCAAACGGATGCACCAATTTTCCCCCATGAATTTCTTATAACACGGTTCATTACCTGCTTCAGGTTTGCATTCCAAAGTGTCATCACCAGTGACAATTCGTTCACCATTAACTACCAAGTCTGGTTTGATTCGAAGTAATGAATAAGCTGGCACAGCGACCACAGGCAGCCTAGTATCATCATTATTCATGGTCAAAGATATGGATGTATCACAGAGCACGCGTGAAAGTTCCCTCTTACCCTTCACATTAGTACTAGCAGAAATGCTACCACTGACAGTCGCAACTTCATCAGTTTTATCATTTTCAATACCACTTCCATTCTTATAAACTCCAAGAGTAGTTAGAGCAAAGAGTGCACTGCGGAATACAGTATAGTTCAAAGTGACAATCCCATACCCTTTACCTTTACTATCATAAATTACTGATTGTTCTTTGTCATAAACAACCTTATGTCGGAAATCCAACAAATACAATGGTGACATTCCAAGTCTTGTCTACCAGATACAACTTTAACCAAAAATATTTTGGTACCCATCGAGGTTGGTAGCCTTGGAATTTAGGAAGGATTGCACGTCCCTTGTCCAGCATACAGACAGTCACTGGTTGACGGCGGTGTTGTTTGAAGAGAAAAAACTCTTTACCATAATCATTAGTCAATTTTATATGACCATAAATTTCAAAATCATTAATATCATCCCCCTGTGTTGTATCCCTTTGTATAATAACAGAGAAAAACTCAATTATATTTAGTGCTTAAATATCGAAGTTAGGAGGCACAAGTTTTTGAACATCTGATGGCTTCGAACTCTTCTCAGTCTCAACATGCCTGATCAGCACACGATTCTTTTTTAGCAACTTCTACTTCTTCCGGATTATCACGAATTAATTCCAGCATATCTCCGGAAAAATAATCTTCCCAGTTAAATTCTGTGTCCATATTGTGGAGTAATATATTCAGCCTGCAAAAACCACGACATAAATTGATCAGTGACTACCATGTATAATTATTTCTTAGATGATACAACTAAACCAATGAATAATCGTATATACTACTATACAAGATGAGTCAAATAAAAATATGATAGGCCTTTCAATTTCAATTTTACGTAGGAGAGTTGTACGATTAGGTCTAGGCCCGTCCTAACCAACACTCAATCACCATATTAGGCTCAAAAAATCACATTCGCTTAACATAATTAATCGTATAAACTTCCATAACTTGACTAATCTAAATTAATTGTTAAATTGTTTCAAAAAAAATAAACTAATTGTTAAATAATCCAAACCCAGGCTTGTTTCCTCAAAAAAAAAAAAAAAAAAATCCAAACCCAAGCTCCAAAAATCACATAAAACTCTTCTAGCATGAATATATCAATAAAATTACTCGTATCATCTTTCGCAACTTCGGTAATTATAACTATTAGTTCAATATTCCACCTTATAAGAACCCTAAATCAATTATAACCTTAGAAGAACCCTAAATCGACTATAACCTTAGAATATTCCTCGATTGTGAAATTCATAGTCAACGATTAAAAATAACATCTTACCACAGAAGCCGCTTCAATTGAGGAAAGTTAGAGGGACCGCTTCAATGGAAGAGAGAAAGCTCAGGAGCCGCTTCAATGAGAGAGTCTAAAGCTCCAAAGGGGTAAAAACTAAAAAGTAATACGGGGTATAATAATTAGATATTATTTAGATGTAACTACTTGTCAAAAAAAAATTAAAAAATAACTAAAATATCAACGATTACAAGTCTTACAAGTTACGAACTTAGGGCTTGTTTGGTTCACCTTATTTTTGTTTATCTTAATGTCAAATTTGACCAAACTTTGACCTTAAATATACGATAATCTATAAGGAAAAAAATATATCAAATGGGATTTTGTTAAATTCGTAATAATGTATATTTTATTAATATGTGATCGTAATTTTTTTCATTACGAAATTAAAATATTTAGCGATAAAAAACTGCACATAAAATGATGATCTGATCTGAACTTATATCTGATCTGAACTTATATCTGATTTGAACTTATATTTTCTGATCTGATCTGATCTGATCTGAAATTATTTTTTTTTCTAAAATAAGTAAAAATAAGGTAAATTAAACAAGGCCTTACGGAGTACAACTTATGAACTTATCCCGCAAATCATAACCAGGGATGACAGTGGATATGAACTCGACTCGAATCAATGGATTCAGATTCGTTTTTTTACGAATATAGGTTTTTAAATTTTGGATCCGAGTTCTATTATAAAATGGATTTGGATCTGGGTCTAACCTCCATTCATGGACACAGATCCGTTTACCCCTTTTTTTAAAAAAAAAATTCTAAGAAAATAATTGATAGGAATAATTCCAATTTTGCTTCATTTTTCCAAAATAATCACAACTTTGCTTCATTTTCCCAAAATAATCCCAACTTTGGAATACTTTTTAGGGAAAATGGATTCTTTTTAGGAAAAATGGATTTTAATGATCTCACCTTTTGATTATTATCTAATTATCCTATCTTTGGAGCACATTCTCTTCTAATGGACCTTCATGACCGGTGACCTAGCTTGTGGTGGAAAGCATTTGCCTAAGTCCCATCAATGCAATTAAGTCCTTTGAGAGAAGGAGATAGCCACTTTCACTTGATACTAAATGATATTTATCATGTTTGCTTGTCGTTTTGAGGTAGTTTCTTGGAGTTTTATTGATAGAGAGGGTAATAAAGTCGCTCATGAGCTCGCTCATTGTGAGCCTTGGGTTGTAGGTAGTCGTGTGTGTGGGTTTCGAACTTTCCATAAAGGGTTTTTTTTATTTTTATTTTTTTTTTTTTTTTTTTTTTTTTGAGGAAACAACTTTCCGGAATGCATTGTATCTCTTTTAAGTCATGATATCTCTATGAATGAAAATTAGTAGCCCTGTATGGGTGTCTTTTTTTAAAAAAAAAAAAAAAAAACTGATTATCAGTTCTTCCCTTCCCCATAGAGCCCTGCAGTATGTATCAAAATTCGACAACCCCTTCCATTTCCGGCCACCCTTCCTCCTGCCCTTCCTATGGCTAACTTCTTTCGGCCCCCTTCCCTTCTCTTTATGGGTGTTGTGTCATCTTTCTTCGTGAGTGCACTCCATAACCGCACCTTTTGAGTCTTCAAATTGGTCGAAAATTGAAGATGCGCAAAGCGGGGTTAGGAGGGGGATAAAATAAGGGAGTTATCCCTCCAAATTAATAACTAAGGGGGTGGTATTAGGGATGTAAATTAAATTTAATGAGTAAAAGACATTTTTACCTTTAATGAAAGAGAAAGAAGAGAGTGAAGAAAGGATATTAAGGATAATTTTGTATTTTTATTAGTTATTTTAATCTAATCCCAACCCATACCAAATAATAGAATATGCTATTTTTAATTTTTTTTATCCTTATCCCATCTATTAATTCCACCTTTTTATCTCACTTAATCCCATCCCCTACCAAACGCCCCGCTATAGTTGAAATTGCTCCACTTTCCCTTTTAGGGGGTGTTTGGTAAGTGGGAATTGAGGTTGAGATTGAGAGTTTTAATCCCAATTTAAAAAATAAGCCTGGTTTGTTTGGTGAGAATGGGAATAAAAAGGGGTTTAGGCATGGGATTATTTAGGGGGTTGTTAAATATCACCCTTAAATATCTAACTAACCCCCGCAAAATAAAATAAAATTACGTATTTATCCTTATAATAATTATAAAAAAATAATTAATTTTACCTCAATTTCACACTTTTACTGTACACAATTTTTTTTACCATTCTCTTTAGTGGTCAACGGCCACCAACGCTCATCGAACAACCACCCAAACCACCGTGAGTTTCAAAATCAAACAAATTTTTAAAATTTTGCAAAATCAATTTCGTTAGATCTTATGGACAACGACGAAATACAAGAAACACAACCTTAGACGCTTGTAGAAGGCTCGTCAAACCGTATGAAATCGGTACGTCACGATAAATTTTTTTAAAAAATTCAAAACCCAGGAAACGTCTAGTTTTTTAGAATACCCTAGGCTGAAACGCCTAGTTTTTTAGAATACTATAGGCTGAAACGCCTATTTTTTTCGAAACATCCTAGGCTATTCGAAAAAACTAGGCGTTTCAGCCTAGGGTATTCTAAAAAACTAGGCGTTTCACCTCAAACGCCCAGATTTTTCATACAACCACACGGTTGTTCACAAGAACTAGGCGTTTGAGCCCAGGATGTGCGAAAAATCTAGGCGTTTGCCGCAAATTCAAAAAAAATAAAATAAAAAACATTTTCTTCGTTGGCGATCGAATTTCCTTTGTCCTTACTTGTCATTACCGCGGCTGTGTAGATCGTGAAATCGGAGGTAAGGAGTTGGTGGTTAAAAGAGGAGGAGGTGGTGGTGGTGGTGGGGGTATAGTAGTATGATGAAGAGGGGGTAATTTTTTTGATAAAAAGGGTAAATTTGTAATTTTAGTTTATTTTGCGGGCGTTAGTTAGAGATTCGAGGGCGACGTGTAGCTTTCCACATTATTTATGGGTGAATTCCCACCATTTTATTACCTATGGAGGGTAGGTAATAAATGGATGGAAATGGAAATAGGGATAAAAATGACATTTTTGCCATTAATGAAAAAAATGAAATAATAATCTTAGTAAGGATATTTTTATAAAATTGTTATACATTCTCTATAAATTCCCACCAACTATTTAAACAAGATATTTTCATGTATTCCAATCAATTAAGAATAAATACAAATTAATCTCTGAAATATATAAAATTTGTTTATCACAACAATTTTGTAAATAAATAAACAACTTTTTCAATAAATATAGGCTTCCTCATCAATTATTTCCCAATCTTATTTTCACCTTTTTAATCCTCAAACTCCCGTTCTCACTATCCAAACGCCCCGTTATTTTCTTCTCATTCCCTGCTGATTTCCTTCTATTTCATTCTCTCTCTTCAGATTCTCCTATTTTCCAACTTTATTTTGCTCAATTTCTATAGATATTAATGCTTTTCTTATCATTTTTTGTTTGGGTGTAGGAACTGAGCTTAAAGTTTGCATCTTGGATGGAGTGGTTGTGGTTATCTACTGGTGCTCTTTCTAAATTGTGCTCGATCATCTCTGGTAAGGTTTTTGATTTTACGTTTTTGTAGTAGATCATTTCTAGGGTTCTTTGTTGAATTATAGGTGAGTGAGGATTTATGATTTGGATTTATACCGAGTAGTTTAATTGGACATAATTGTGAATTGGGTAAATTTTGAGTTTCATCATTTGAAATTTGGATTTTGTAAATTGATTTCTGTAGTTAATTTAGAAATTGAACAAGAGAGCGGTTGAGGCTTCAGATGAGCAACGTCTAATGCCTGACATCAGGACTGGAGACATTGTGCAAATCAAATTGTTTGGTTAGTAGTGGATGTGAATACTAAATTGTTCAATTGTTTGAGCATAAGATTACTTTGTGTCAATGTGTCTCATCTTTTACATGCTCCATTGCAGGCTGATGTTGATGGTAATGGAACATCATCACAGCCGCAATGCATATGAATAGAGTGGAGAAGGAGGAGTGGGAGACCATCTGTAAAAGGGCTTTGAATATTTTGACCAAGACAAGAGTGGGTAGCTTGCTCATGGCTTTTAAATATCTTGTCTGCTTTCAAAACATTTTCAACAGCTTTGTATCCTGACTCCTGATTAATGAACATTGCTTGCTTTGATTCTCACCATTGATTTCATGGGTGATGAGCAAGCCTCGAACAAGTATAACATGGGTGATGAGAAAACAATGCAGGAGATAATTGCTCAAGTTGACGCATATAATTTATCTTCTTGTCTCTGTCTCCTTATTTACCGTTAAGTAGATAATCGTAAAGCATAATCCTGCTAGCTGCTGTCTCATTATTCTTCAGCATAGCTTTTGTCAATTTGATAGTTGTGCTATCATTCATATCGAAGAGACTCAAAGCATGTTACTGGCAGAATTAAAACTGGACTAAATTACAATTCTTCTCTCCTGTGCATGATGTTAGAATTAACTATGAGGATTTCATAGCTATGATGAAGAAAGGCAATCCTGATTTGTGTTAAACAGATGGAGGAGATGATTCATAGGACAGTAACTGTATGATATGACTACTATGACTATCGTGTAAATGTTATCTACACCAGCCTAGAACGATTGCAAAGATTTTGTCAATATCCGATGCCTTGAAATAGAGTGGATCAAAAAGAAAGAAACGCTCAAAGCACGTGCTCAGCTGTAAGGTTTTGTATCTATACCCTCTTTGTCATTTATATCATTGGAACATTTGGTAGTTATTTTTTTTTTGGTTTTGCATCTATTTGTTCAAAGAAACATGTTCAGTTTGCAATAGCTTAACCTATGTTTTTCTTGCTTGTATCAAAGTATGTTGTATGTTTTATCTACTTCCTTTGTTAAATGTTATTTGCAACAAAAGGAAGCTGAGCATTATTTGCAACATTTCTAAATTTTTCCATTTTTAGTAAATTTCGTTTAATTATAATTACAAAACACATTTACATAAAACTTAACAAACTCAATTACATACTTAAAACATAATTAATTAAACTAATCTAATCTAATTTAACTCATCCTATCTTTATGAAATCATCATATTAATCCACATTCTTTCTTCATCTTCTCCATTATCTTTCTCTCTGTTTCTTCATTACCAATTTCTTCATCTTCTTCCTTTTCTCCATTATCTTTTTCTCTCCTCCTTCAAACCCTATTCTCATAAATTGAAGAAAAAGACCACCCAAAGTTGCTTCAATTCCTTTCGTGGGGGTGGCCGGGTGGGTTTGATTCCAAATGTGATGGTTCGTGTTGCTGTGGGTTTTGGGTTCAAGTTCAAGTTCTGGGATTCGTTGATTTGATTTTGGGTTCGCGGGTCGTTTATTTGTGGGTTGTGGTCCATGGGTTCATGGGTTCTAGGTTTTGGGTTCGTGGTTTCAGGGAGGGAGGGTGGGTGGGTGGATCTATGGTGGTTAAAATTGCTTCCACGAAGAAGAGGATTTCCCTAAGGGGTTGATATGGCCCTAATTTACACTCATTTTCTACTAGGGTGTCATTTTGTTGGGGGCATTCCGCCATTGTTGAAGAAGACGACGACGAGGAAGGCCGGTGGTGTTAGGGTTTCTCCTCTTGTCCTTTTCGGTGGTGGAAACGGTGGTGGAATGGGGAAGTCTTCGTGGTTGATCGGCGGGAAAACAGTGTACCGTTGTGGTGATTGGCGGATCGGTGGTTGTCGGAGAGGTGGCTGACTGGCTGTAGTTTTGGTTTTGGAGAGCTGGTCGTGGCTCGTGGTAGATAGCTGTAGTAATTTTTTTTTTTTTTTTTATTTTTTTTAGAAATGGGATTGATTTACAATTTTTGTCAATCAGACCGATTGACTGAGGTGCCCCCTGTCCTATTAGCTCCTATCTTTTTTAGTTACGATTATTTTCTTAACCTTTTTTTTTTTTGGTTAAAACCTTTCTTTTTATGATAGTGCCATAGTGGTTAAATATATTGTGAGGGCCGTTAATTCTCACATTAATGTATCATTATATGTTTTTGTTGATTTGATGAGGATTTATATGAAAAAATTAGGTGTTGTGTTGGAATTTAAATAGGACCTCTCTACATACTTGCACCCTGACAAATACTACGTATCTTGGAAGGATGAGTGGTTTATCCGTTTATGGTTTAACCAGAGAAAGGGTTTGTGACCAGTAAACTCACTGCATGAATCTTAGCTGGATCACATGCTGATTTTAATAATGTTCTATCGCAGAAACTATGTTGTCCAGTACATCATCAAGCTAAAAATTCCATTTGCAGCAGCACAGTTTGTCTCTCAGTCTAAAGGGAACTATGTGCGTCTCTGCATGCAGAAATTCAGCAGCCATGTGGTTGAAGCTTGGAGCATTTTTTAACCAGTGTACGAGGATAGTCACCAATTCAAGGTCTGCTTCTAATAAAATCCAAGAGTTTACAGGGTTAGTCACCAAGGTCTGCTTCTTGTAAACGCTTCTTAATATTTGCTTTCATGTCCTGTTATGCTCATCTATGAAGTAGAATAATTATCATGCTTGATTGGTGAATGAAAATTTCAGGATTTTGGAACCCAAATAGTAATATGTGATTAAACGTTGATAAGAATATCAATAAATTTAAGGAAAAATTGAAACTGATGTGCTCAAAATAATTCCACCTTTAAAAATCCCAAAATAATCCCACCTTTTACCCTTATCTTCTTAAAATAGGTCATGACCGACTTTGTAAGGATTATAACCGGTAGAAATGGGTAGCTTGCCATGTGTTAATTTATTATTGGTCTCATTATTATTATTATTATTATTATTACTACCTCCGTTTCGCATTATCTGCAACAAACTGACCTTACACAATTCCCAAGACAAAATTTCTTATGCAAAGATTAGTAAAGAGAGGGGCAAGTGATTAATTGGATGAGAGAGAAAGTTAACTCCACCAGCACCAACCCCACCACCACCAACACTCTCTCCGACACCAACCTAACACCACCAACATCCACCCAATGAAACCACGACCACCAACATCCACCCTATGAAACCACGACCACCAACATCTACCCTATGAAACCACGACCACCAACATCCAGCTTCGCCCGCAGCCACCGACTCCACCTCCACCTTCGCTGACCCCTGAACCTAACATGCGTCCTCCCCCAACACCCCTTCAACCTCGGCGATCCCCAACCCAACCTTGTAAACCACTACGAAACCACATACCCCGAAAACCTCAGCCCACACTCTCAAAACCATTGAACAACCCACCTTGAAACCGTCTCCCATCAAACCCAGAAAAACCCACCACCATAAAACCCACCCTTTTTCAAGAAAAAACCACCCAACAACTTGAAACTATGAAGACAGCTTTAAAAGTGGTAGTTTTTTTACCTTCAAATCGTCATTTAGGGGTTTATTTGGTCAAATTTGACCATGAATTCTCTAGGTCTAGAGATTTCATGGTCAAATTTGACCAAAAACACCTCAAGCTTCAGTGGTTTTGACCATAACATCGTCGACGATTTTGACTCGGGTTGACGTGGTGGCCGGAGAAGAGAGAGAGGAGTTTCGAATGCGAAACGGAGGTAGTATTTTTTTATTTTTTTATTTTTTAAAAAAAAAACTCTTTCATCTCCCTCTTCTTTTCCTTCCTTGTCAATGGCAGGCTGCCATTACAACCACCCACTCCAGGCAACACCCACCAACAATGCTTAAGCAATCTCATTAAACATCAACCCACAAAAAAAAAAAAAAATATATATATATATATATATATATATATATATATATATATATATATATATATCATAATTGCGTGTAACCGTAACATCGATCCATTTTGTTTGGGATTTTTCTGGTGGGTGGGTAAAGAGGAAACTTTGATCTTATCATCAACAACAATAACAAAAGCCCACAAACCCAGGCCACAAATCCCAATCAAATCACCTAATCAAATTAACAAACAACAACTCAATCAAAGCCTCAAATCCCACAAACTAAACGCCCCCAACAAAATTAAGGTTCCAACAACTTATCATATTTTATATATCTCAAATCGAAGAACACTTTAAAACCAAGAAATCGATAAGTTTACATTATCTCATGACCGCCTGAATAATCAATTAATCTGTTTATGTATGTATAATTTGTAAGTAGTGCTGTTTTGGGGTTGAATGTGATTATAATCTGTACGTAGTGCTGTTTTGTGTCGATGGACATAGGTTGGTGATAGGTGTGATGGGTGGGGTACTGGGTAACTGGCGGTGGTGGGTTGCCATGGAAGGAGGTTGTAAGGTAGGGTGGTGGATAGTGTGAGTATGGTGTATTCTAAGGTGGCAATGAAATGATAGTTGTGGAGAGGAGAGAGATGTAGGTTTTTTTTTTTATTTTTTTTATTTTTATTTATTTATATATATATTTTTAAATATAGAACCTATTAAACAAGTTTTAAGCCAAAAGGGTTGTTGATATCAAAGGTGGGATTATTTCTAGATTATTGAAAGGTGGGATTGTTTTGAGCACATCAGTAAAAGGTGGGATTATTAGTTTCAATTTTTCATAAATTTAAAGATGGTGAACTATTATAATTAATTGAGAATTGCAATAGAAAAACTATGAAATGGAAATGAGTAGGGGTGAGTATTTGTTTTAGTGTGCTGGCTAACTTTTTTGCCTATGAAAATATTCATTACAATTCTTTTGTTCTTCCCTGAAATGATGAAATTGCAGTATTCTCATCCTCTTAAGTGTGGGCGTGCACACTGGGCTAGGGATTGCCCGTCGAGTGGTGGTGGAAGGTATCCTTCACAATCTAAATTTTGTAGATTTGGTCTGCAGGGAGATCGTGATTATGACTGCTGGGGACTGTTATGGCAGTAGAGATTGTTTGGAGAATCAGAAATGGGTATCCGCCTGCTAGTGATCATTCTGGAAGCGATAGATATTTGGATCGATGTCCCTTAAATATGGCCGGGATAGAGATATGGAGGCGTTATGAGGTGGTGATGGGTATGCTGCTGGTGGACCAACTCCCTATGACAGAGAAAGCTTTAGATACCAGGCTCACCCTTATGATGCTCCGGGAGAAGCAAACAGAGTTGATATTGCTGTTGATTTTGCTCCTTTTCTAAATAGTTGCAGAAATGTTGGATATCGTCTCCTTTGCGTATTCGTATTCTGTCCAGAAAAAATTTAAAAGAGTATGGATAACTGTGGTGACCTTATTAGTTGACCTGTAGGAGTATCTATTGGGAGGAAATTATTTATATTCTGTATGTATGTTTTAGTTGAATGTAAGAATGGACAAGATGCACATAGATCAATGTTGGATATCCTCCCTTTTTGCCCCACACATTGCGCATATATATTATCAGTTAATAAACCCCTGGAACTCAAATTTTTAACCTTCACACTAAGTTCCATCCAGTCAAACTCATCATTGCAACTAGATGAGGTTGCCTTCTCACGCTCTCTCAATAAAGTCAGCATCTTGTAAGAGCGTATATCTCCCATCTTTCTTGTAATGCCACACCCACCTATCCTTCCTATCAAAGAGACTTAAAACCTTAATTTTACTAATGCAAATAGAAATACCTGTATACCTGTAATTTGTAACGATTTCAAAACTTATCTATGTGATTACTACATACACAGTTTCCACACTATGATGTAAATATTTTGGAATATAAATTAATGTTTGCAAAAGTTAATTTGGAATATAAATTATGCACGCGGAGGTTTGGATTAATGTTGACAAAAGTTAACATTTTTATGTTTGCAATAGGTGATTTGGAATTTGAATTATGCAAATTTGAAAAATTGTGATTTGTTACTGGTTGGAAGGTTGGACTTTAATGTCAATATCATGATTTAATGCTAGGAAAAATACTTTTTAATAATTCCAATTTTGATCGATTTATTTGATATACAGTATAATCTTTGAGCATATTGCCATATTTTATTGAACCAAAGATTGAAAGAATCGTACTAATACATACTCAACCCAAATAAAAATGTCCATTATTCAAACTGAGTTGTTCCTATGTAAATTTGTTTTCATTACTATTATTATTATTTAGATATCAATAATATAATTTATAATAATATTGTTTTAAAACGCGGCCTTCTTAGTTGATTAGACCGGTGTTACGGGCCTATCTTAGGCGTGTAGTGTAGTTAAGCTGCACATTAAGGTCTATTTAGCTAAGCTTAACAATCCATCGCATCCAAAGGAAAAGCCTTGAACCTATATACTTGTATGTATAATGAGCCCATTTTAGGCTGATTTACACAGCAGCTTTGAGGGATTAGTGGCTGATCAATTTGCCCTAAGTAATCAATGGCTATTAACACCTAATCATGGCTGCCCAACTCCTCCTCTCTCCTTTCCCTTTTTACGTACAAAACAAGGCTGGCTTTCATCGGTTTTCTTCATCTTTTTCGTGGGTTTCAAAGGCAAATCTAAGGGGGAAATTAAAGCCTAATTTGCTGCTTAAATCGTGCCCAAGTTCCTCCTCTTTCGAATTGTCAAAACCGAACAACTTTGAGTTAATCATGACTTTGGTCACGCTTCTAGAGGTAATCAGATTTACTCCCTTGGGTTTTGGGGTTGGATTGATTAGGGTAGGTTATATTTGTGATTTTCGTTGCAAAATTTTGCATGGTTAAATAGATGAGTTTTATTCATGTAATGAATATCACAACCTAGTTGTTTTGTGAAGATTTCATTAGGATTATGCCTTACTTGACTTAGTATGGGTTAATTAGGTATAAGTTTGTTTTTGGGCGGGGGAAAGTGAAATCCACAGCACCTTAAGCATGAGTTTAAGGTGCTATCACCAAATTAATTTTAATGGCCTAAAGCCAAGTATAGGAGTTGCTGCCTTCCATTGTGAAATGTGTGTCGTTAGAGAGTTTTTAAGATGTGTTTTGCCTAATTTCTAAGCTCAAATGCATGATTAACATGACCTATTATATTTTTAGAGTGTGTACTATAATGAGCTAAGCTTAGTTCATTTCATGTCTAAGGTGGGGTTTGGGTGATTTGTTGTGATTGGTGCTGTTGTATATTAGTGTAGGGGCTGCTTTAAATATGATATTATTTGGTGATTTGTTGTGATTATTGGTGCTGTTGTATATTAGTGTAGGGGCTGCTTTAAAAATATGATTTTGTTTGGGCATGTTTTCTCTTGAATTTTAACTCCGTTAGGGTTTCATATGATGCCTATTGTATTTTTGTATGTGCCCTAATTTTTATTTCACATTTGAAGCATGTTTGGTTGGGTTTTATAATGATTTTTGGACTAATATGTTGTTATCCCGTACGTTTTGGTTGTTTTATGAAATGGTAATTTGGAATTTTGGTTAACATAATTGAATAAATTTATGGATTTTTTATTGTAAGTATTATATATTGGTTGAAATTATACTTTTAATAAGTGATGTGTGAGATTTTGAGTACTCCGTATTATAAACCCCTAAAGTGAAATACTTGAATGTGTGTTTGAATTTGGGTGAGTAGTTGTAAACTTGTAATTGTATTATCGACGTCATAATGTTTTTGAAAAGGATAATACCGTATTTAGCATTTCTTCGCCAAGAGTTGTGAATGTATGCAGTTCATTGTTTTAATCCATTAATTATATTCCCAAACTCAGACGATACCCTTTTGTGGTTTATTAAGTTGAAATGTGTTTTAATTTGAAATGGAGTTTTAATTATATTTTATAAATATATGGTTTTCTTATGTAGTTTAAATTGAGTGTAAGACCATTTGAGGCTTCTCTGCAGAATTCTGAGGGAAATATGATATTGAATTTTAATTGATTTTGAATTGTGTGTGGGGCCATAGTTGGGTGTGAGGTAGAGTTGCTTCATGATGGTTAATGAACATGGTAACTTTATTAACTACGAGTCTTAGGTAGCTCAACTTTCCGGGGGTATGTAAGACCTTATAGACATTGACCTATAACCGGGAGTTGGCCAATCTTAGTCGTGGTCTTCTACGAGTTGACTGGGGGTTCGTCCTAACAAACCTTAGGAGGTGGTCTGCGAGTTCACTGGCGTTCCCTCCACGCCATTTCTACTTTTTTGAATATTTTGAGTTTGAAATATTGAATATATGAAATAATTACTTATTTTGAAGTTTAAAAAAAATTATGATTGAAATAAAGGTGTTTTAACATCGATTTTCAATTTTAAGTTGATTACTTCGTATGAAATATTTCACAGTTTGTATCGTTAGATGATTTTAAGTGATATCATTTGAGTTTTCAAGTTGTTTGTGCTATGGTTTCTTTTTATTAATTTAACTTTGAAAGCTTTTATTTCTAATTTAAGGAAGAACTCCTAGTTGCTCTCCACTGATTGTGGAAGTTATTGTAATTTGTAGATTCATTTATTTAAACATTGTGACAATGGGTTGGGAATTGAGAGTCAAAGACCCAACTTTGGCTTGTATGCTTTAGTTGTTAGTTGATTGTTTAAGTGCTTTGAATTTGGTTTTAGTATGATTTCAGTTTGGCGGATAAGGGTTGTTCTATCCTGGTTTTTGAATGTAATTGATTTGCCTAAATTTATGTTCATTTGTTAATTTTTTTTTCACCTTATAGTTTGCTTGCTCTTTAGGTTAAACAACTTATTAATTTGGATGTTTGAATGACTTAACCTTTAGATCTAGGTTAAGCTTGATTTTGTCGATCGAAGTTAAGTGGCCTCCTATCTAAATGAACGGGGTGTTACATTATTAGTTTGCCAATTAATTTATTTTAAATTTAATCATCTAGCAAAAAACTGGGTAGTAACATTTTAAGGCTTGAAACAAAGGATTGATACTCATCTATTAATCCAATACTAATTTCCAAAGCATAAAACGAAGTAATATATAATTTTCTTCAACTTATTCTATGATAATTTGTTTCCTCAAAAAAAAAAAAAAAAACCATCTAAAGTTAGAATTAAAAATTTAAAGCTAATTATTAAATCCAATTTTTGTTTCTTATTAATTGGAGCTGAGATATATACGAAGTACTCCGTAGTATATAAGAAGTCAAACAAACTGTAGTAATGCAATGAGATGAAAGCCGTGATGCTACAACACAGGCCAACAGCAGCTACTGCGACTATCAGACCCTGAACAATGCCAAATCATGAAATCCAGTGGTTGTTCCAAATGCAAACAAATGGTAAGGGCAAAAGATCATAGAAAATTTGAGCAAATAATGTATTTCTGTGGCGAAAATGATAAAGTCAGAGGCTGCATCCTTAACAAATAGTCAAATGTATTGAGCTATCTTATACACCTGGTTTAAGACACAAAAACAAAGATGATTGCTTATAATTCATCAGGACATAACAAAAGATTGATTAAAATCAACTTTACGCACAAAAGAAGAGCAACCAAGTTAAAACAGACAGAAATAAGAATATGTAGTGGATACATAATGTATTCTGAAGATGAGGAGCAGGAATCAAGCATTATGAGACGTAGTGATTATGGATGCATACTTCCAATCTGAGCTGAGCATTTGCCTTTGTTTTAAGATGGAGGGGAGTAACCTTCTGATTTCTTTTGAGAAGAGAAGCAAGAAACGCAATAGTTAGAAGCTAAGCTAATGCAGCCCCTACTGCCTTGAAATTAAATAGAGAAGCCTATTTGTCAGTTTAACACCTCCTTGAACTAACCTCTTTGGGGACATGATTGAAGATGTTGAATTGTTAAAGTAATTTGTATAGCATTCACAAAGCAAATGCAAATTACATGTAGAACAAATAGATCAAAGAAACGAATTTTTTTAACAAGATTTCCCTAGCTATATTCCATAAGAGCCTTTTATACTTTAACATGACCTTTAATTTCCACAATTATCCAAAATGAGAAAGCATCATATGCAGATTTCCATGTGGAACATACCGAACAAATGCAACTTATTCAAGTAATAAACATTAAAGATAATTGAAAATAAAATAAAACACTTACTAATCAACTTAAACTTTTCCCGGTTCTTCTTCTTTCCCTCAGCGAGCCTTTTCATCTGAGAACTTTTAGCCTCTCTCAAAAACATACCGAATACAAATCGAATGGTTTTTTCGGTTATGCCAGAACTGTTCAATCTATTTTTGAGAGATTCCATAAAACAACCATTGTGATCATCATTCCTAATTTGAGAAAAACTAAAAAAGATTGGTGCTTGCATTTTACCCAACAGTCGAGACGAGAGTAGAGGACTAGAAGAATGCAAAGACTGCCGAATTATAGCATCCAGAAAATCAAAATCAAAATTTTAGCAAATGCGATGACAAACCTGAAAATTCTCAAGCAAATACAAACCTAACTTCAAACAACGAGTTGAAACTGAGCTTGAAAATTACATAATGATAAATTGAATTTCACTTTTCACTCTAAATTTCTTACAGTACTCTTCAAAAATTCTTACAGTAATCTTCCAATTTGATTGGGCAGGAGAGAGAAAAGACCGCTGATTTAGGGCGGACCTCTATTAGCCCTAATAGGGAGCATCCCATCCCATCCTACATTAAGTCTATAAGCCCAAGTTAAAAGCCCAAAAATTTGAACCCATTCCAAATATCCATATTTCATAGGTGACAAAGTCCTACTTCTCTTATACTCCTACTACGAACTATACTTAAATATATATATATATATATATATATATATATATATATATATATATATATATATATATATATATATATATCAGTGGCGATTCCAGGAATTGCTCGTTATGAGTTCGGACTCTCCAAACTAATATAGCGATATCAAATGTCATAATTAAAATAAATTTTGCATTTGTTAATTCGGGTGTGCACAATACATGTCAATTACAACAACAACCAAAAAGTTAAACTAAATTACAATTGAACTCGACTTTATACGAATTTTGCAATTTTAACACAAGTCCTTTCAAAAATACTTTAAGTTTTTCATATCCAAACTGTAAAACACAATGATAGAATATATATACGTATTAACATTCTACTTTCTACTTCACGGATTTTGAATTCACAGTTTCACAATTCACATCATTTATCCAATTATCAATTTACTCCAACTAATTAACAATTGTACAAATCCATCAAGCATTCACAACTTCAGTTAGTGGATAATTAACAATATAAATAACAATTTTTTGAGTTTAATTAACAATTTTAAACTTAAAAAAAATAAAAGCTGAAAAAAAAAAAAGTGCAAGGTTAGTGGGTTCCGCACATTCTCTCGTGAAAATAAATGCATAGTTTAATAATTAACCCTTGTTTTGATTCATTTTCTGTAAAAAAAAATGAAGAAGTGCGGTTAGTGGGTTTGGAACCCATACCTTTCCTCTAGAAGGTGAAGCGCTAACCAGTAGTCCGCGCATTGTCTAACATATATTCTGGCATAGTTTAATATTTATCCCTTGTTTTGATTATTTTTGTAAAAAAAAAAAAAAACCTATTAGTTTTTTTTCGTGGAATCGCCACTGATATATATATATACTATCCTAATGTAGTGCTTATTTATGCTCATGCTCATTTTTGTAACAAAATTACTTAATGTAAAATACATACATTTTTTTTTGTTGTTTAAAGAGTCACAAAGCCGAGTGATGAGAATCGTTCCCAGGATCACCTGGAATCGAGAGGGGAGCTCTAACCACTTGAGTTATCTCTCACTCTCATGTAAAATACATACATTAATACATATATGGAAAAATTGCAAATAATATTACAACCTTTGACTCGTTCTTTTTTAATAATACAACATTTTGATTATACATTAATATTACAACATTTGGAGGTGTTTATTTTAACAGGAAAAAACCAGTTGGTAACATGTGACATGTTGTTGTTTTATTGGTTTTGTAAATTTAATTTGATTTTTAAAAAAATATTAATATTTTAAATTTTTAAAATATATAAAATAATAATAATCATAAAAAAAAAAAAAAAACCCTAGCCTCCTATTCTCTCTTCTTTCTCCTAAACCTAGTCTCCATTGTCAATTTTAAAGGGGCTTCCATCGGATTTCACCGGTGGAAAACTCCAATCTTTATTTTCTTTTAAGCCTTTTGTTTTAGGTTACAATAATGTCTCCCTCGAAAGAAAGGGTTTATCTCCTTCGAAAGACAAGGTTTTTTCGATCTCCTTCGAAAGACAAGGTTTTTGTCTCCGGTTGTACGGGGCTACTATTGATTGTGGCTCGGATTTGGGTTAAGGAATCAGCACAAGAATTGACTTTCTCACAAAATTGCGAAGCGACAACGGATCCACTCAAAAAGTTGTATGAGACAACGAATCGAGACACTAGTAGAAAAATGTACATTTGCGTCGCCATATTTGCGTCACTCATTCTAAGGAGCGAAGCAAATGTTTATTTTTACCATCCTTTTAAGTTATTTGCATCGCATGTTATTCAAAAAGCGACGCAAAACTCAAGTGCATTTCAGCTTTCTCTCATTTGCGTTGCTCTTATTTATTAAAGCGACGCAATTAATAAACTTATTTGCGTCAATCATTTGTTAACAAGCGACGCAAATAAGTGATTAAGTAAATTGCGTCACGCTTTTACTACATGAGCGACGCATATGAGCTGTGTACAATATCATAAACAAGGTTATTTGCGTCGCTTTTTTATAATAAAGTGACGCAAATAACTCTTTTGGCTTTAGGTTTTCTGCGTTTTTTTACCTTCGCCTACATTCACTAATCAAAAAGAAAAAAAACAAGAGTTCTTCAATTCCAGTGAATTTCTACAGCAAAACACCCACAAATTCGTCTCTGAAACCCAACAAATTAGGCCAAAAAACTGCGATTCCCCAGCAAATTTAACATCTAAATTAAAATTGCAGTCAAGTTGAAGCAAATCCGAGCAATTTCGAGCAAAAATTTAGACCAAAAACCCCAAGAAATTCGAACCCTTAAACCCAGAAAAATTGATTGTTTCCGACCAAAAATTCCCCATTTCGAGCAAAAAATCAACTCAAACGCGTTTCGGAATGATAGGTTTGATCCTCAGTCGTATGTTCAGTCCAAATGCTCTCTTAATGAGAAGGTAATTTGATTTTTGTGCTTAATTTGTGTTTAAGTTCTTTAATTTTGTTCTTAATTTGTGTTCATTTTTGTTGAAATTAAAATTTCGAGTTTGTCAGAAATTGTGATTTTCTTGTTTTTATTTATTGTTGATTATTTGAAATTTACAGCAAAACACCCACAAATTCGTCTCTGAAATCCAACAAATTAGACCAAAAAACTGTGATTCCCCAGCAAATTTAACATCTAAATTAAAATTGCAGTCAAGTTGAAGCAAATTCGAGCAATTTCGAGCAAAAATTTAGACCAAAAACCCCAAGAAATTCGAACCCTTAAACCCAGAAAAATTGATTGTTTCCGACCAAAAATCCCCCATTTCGAGCAAAAAATCAACTCAAACGCGTTTCGGAATGATAGGTTTGATCCTCAGTCGTATGTTCAGTCCAAATGCTCTTTTAATGAGAAGGTAATTTGATTTTGTGCTTAATTTGTGTTTAAGTTCTTTAATTTTGTTCTTAATTTGTGTTCATTTCTGTTGAAATTAAAATTTCGAGTTTGTCAGAAATTGTGATTTTCTTGTTTTTATTTATTGTTGATTATTTGAAATTAGAAGAAAGAGAGGAATTTTAATTTATTTTCAATTAATTTTTAGTTGATAATGAAGAATGAACAAATGATAGAATGATGATTGATGGATAGTCTAAATATAGGAGGAGTGCCGAATTGCCGAATTTAGTAGGCTTATTGCTGAGATTATTGGATGGGAAGGGGGGGGGGGGGCTTATCATCTCCTTCAACTTCTTTGTTTCTCCGGTAATCATAATTTGCTATTGTACATGCACACCAGTCTTTTTCTTTTTCTGTTACACTGCAGTCTTTTCATGTAATTTTATCCTGTTGGTAAAATATGTTAGGCAACTTCATTCATATAAAACTGTTGTATTCCTGCATGATTCTGTAACTCTGAACCCAACTTTACCACAAGCAAACAGTTATATTGTTGAAACTTTTCAATCAACACACTTTGTATATGTAGTTGTAGCCCTTGCGAGTTGCCACTTTAATCATTTTATAAAAATTCTTCATGCTGATTGCTGACATATATTTTACATCTGTTACTCATTGCAAGATCAGGCATCATGTATGTATTTCTTTTAAGGCTTTTCTGGTCTGATGCATGGGACTAGTCTTCCAAGGTTCTCATCACTTAATAATATTTGTTGTTTGATTGTTGTGGATTCTCAGGTGCCATTGCTGGCCCAATCAAACCCTAGCGGTGCAAAGAGACTACCGCCAGGGATAGTTGCTTCTAAGTCAGATCTCTATCTCCGTAGACTATGGGGTCTTCCTAGTGAGGTATGTGAACATACTATAACAAGTCTCTGAAATTTCTTCTCACATACACCTTACTTTTAAACTGTCTTCTGTTATGTAGAACCTCCTCTTTTAATCACTATCCTTGATACTTGTTGGACAAAAAGTCTTTACTCTGTTTCCCACATTACACTTTTCGGGTTAATAGGGGTCTGAGTAATGATGTAAAGGAAAAAAAAATAAGCAAGGGAACTGTAATTTTAAACATTTATTTATGTACTTTTAAGGTTTCTTGATAAATTGCATTATCAGCACAAAGACTGAGTTTTATTCATTTTGATAATAGAATTTTGAAGTTTGAATATAATACTGGTTCAAAATGGCTTCTGCAGGATCTGAAAACCAAGCCTAAGTATCTAGTGACCTTCACAGTTGGCTTAGATATGAAAGAAAATATTGACAAAGCAGTTAAAAAGGTTTCTTTCTAGCAATTTCAAGTCCTTTATTACTGCTAACATCATATTTGTATTAATTATATGCTCTTTTATCCTTGCACAGTTCTCAGACAACTTCACTATTCTGCTCTTCCATTACGATGGTAAGACGACTGAGTGGGATCAGTTTGAGTGGTCAAAACGTGCTATCCATGTCAGTGCTCGAAAACAGACGAAATGGTTAGTACTCTTGTTTTAAGGCAATTGGGTCAGATTAATTATCAATTTTATCATACTGATCCGTTCTTTCATTGTATGGTTAAAGGTGGTATGCAAAACAATTTCTACATCCTGACATTGTGGCACCATATGATTACATATTTATCTGGGACGAAGATTTGGGAGTGGATAATTTTGATTCTGAAAAGTTAGCACTCTTTCTGCATCATATCCTCTAATGTCTTGAGCTATTCAGTACAGAACTTTTGTCATTTATTTTTTGTTGAATTTTCAGATACGTTAATTTGGTTAAGAAACATGGTTTGGAAATTTCACAGCCTGGTGTGGATCCTAATAGTCCGTTTACATGGCAGATGACAAGGAAAAGACATGACAGTGAAGTTCACAAGTAATAACTACTAATGATGTATAATTTATGCCCAGTTATCTTCCTTTGCAACAGAAGCAGGATGATGAGTATAATGTCTATGATATTGAGATGTAATTTATTGGACAGGTTGTTAATATAATGTCGTCATTCCCAATTTTATGGGTAGGCCAAATTACAAAGGAGACTCTGCCGAAATTTACATTTGCATTATTCAATAATATTGCATTTTAATTTCAATTATATTAGCGTTAGCATATTACTTTATACCACTAGTAAGGAAAACAGGTACTACAAACATATACAAGGCAATTATTATAATTAAAAAAAAAATTCACCTCATTTGCGTCACTCATTAAACAAACAAGTGACGCAAATACAGCAATTTTGTATTGTCTACTCAGTCATTTGCGTCACTCCTATATAAACAAGTGACGCAAATAACAAATAAGAAGTTTATTAGAAGAGTCATTTGCGTCGCTCTTTTATAGAGGAGTGACGCAAATAACAAAAAAGAAGTTTATCAGAAGAGTCATTTGCGTCGCTCCTTTATAAAAGAGTGACGCAAATAAGAGTCATTTGCGTCGCTCCTTTATAAAGGAGCGACGCAAATGACTCTTATTTGCGTCGCGCCTAGGAGCGACGCAAATGACTTAAAAGTCATTTGCGTCGCGAGCAGTTGCGTCGCTCATAGAAGCGACGCAAATACACTATAAATGAGCGGCGCAAATGAGCCTTTTTCTACTAGTGAGAATATGCCAAATTGTTATATTTATGTATTTGGATTCTTAGCCCTTCCCCGATTAATTCTTGTTTGATTTTGTTAAATTCGTTTTCATTATCGTTCATTATCAATTGTAGATGTCGTATGGCTTATATTAATGAAATTTAGTGTCCTTTAGGACTTTTTTCAAAAAAAAATAAATAAAAAAAATAATAATAATAATCATATAACTAATATATAAAGCTAAACTTTTAGTCAGGCGACGAGATAGCGACACTTGGCGTTCCAATTCATGACCATTATCTCTTTACCAACATATCAAGGACTAAGGTCTATAACGCCGAGCCTCAAACCAAGAATAAAATAATAATTCTCAACCTTTTAATCTCATACATTAATCAAATAACCATTCACAAACTAATAGATAATATCTCAACAATTGCAAAGGTTCCCAAATATTATAACATGATGAACTCAATTCAATCATAGAATATCTCAAAGCTTATAGGGCTAATATTAGTATCCAAAATTAATTAATTCTTAACCCAAGATTATATTAGTAACTCTAAAACCTCAAAAACAATACTACTCCCCATATCAACAACATTAAAACCCTAAAATAATAACACAATCAATATAATCAATAATACAACAATATAATATACGGTAATTAAATCATATATCACGACATATTAACAAATATATATACAAAACTTGATCATACAAATCCTAAAATTTACACATAACAATACAAAATATAAAACAAACATCTCCATAAAAAGTCTAGTGTGATTACATACAATAATAATACAAGCATCTCCAGATAGGCCTGTTCACATTTACTAAACTGAGCTGAACTGAACTGAATATTTTATGAGAGAAGAAAATTAGGAGCTAAACTAAACTGATTGAAGCTGAACTGAACAGAAATTAAGTAAATATGAACATGCCCTAAATCTGCATGATTACCTTTCACCGACTCACAATAAAATTGTGATATATAGAAGGGACTAAGGGCTTGTTCACATTTACTTAATTTCAGTTCAGTTCAGTTCAGTTCAGCTCCAATCAGTTTAGTTCAGTTCAGTTCAGTCCAGCTCTTAATTTTCCTCTCTCATAAAATATTCATTTCAGCTCAATTTAGTTCAGTTCAGCTCCAATTAGTTCAGTTCAGCTCAATTCAGTAAATGTGAACAGGCCCTAAATAGCTCGGCAACAATACCATTCACGGTTTGCAATCAACATATAGATCAATGTGATGGTGGAGAATTGGAGATTATAGAATAAACCAAAAACATCAAAAAAAAAAAAAATCAAATTTGGGTTTGGTTAATGAACCCCACACACAAGAATAGGAAAACGGCTGCGACTGCTTTATTATTATTATTATTATTTTTATATATACTAGTATATATAAAATATCTTTTTGTGAGTTTAAAATAGTTTATAAAGTTTAAAATAGTTTATAATTGTAGAGTCCTATTTAAACAAAATAGGGTTTTAAAACTTTCCGAACTCTAAAATAAAAATATGATTTTAGGAAAGTTATTTAATAAATAAAAATAAACTATTTTTTTTATAAAATATATTTTATTAAATTATAAAATATTTTGGTATTACAAAAATGGCGAGTATTTTAATGCAAATGGGATGAACATCTATTAACTATAACTAAAACAAAACATGCTGACATTATTAAGGGATATATGTCAACTTTTTATGAAATTTTTTCCCGCCAAAACTATTTTTGACATCATCATTTTTATTTTCTCTATTTTTTTCCTCCTAATTTGTAATTCTTTCAAAATTAATTAAAGAGAGATTATGATTACATTTTTTCAAATAAAGAATATTGACAATTATTTTCATCAAATAATATCTAATTAAACCGTGCAACGCACGGGACTAAACTAGTTTTGGGACTAAAATTAGGGATGGAGGCAGTGCAACCTTTGGACGGTCCGTAAAAAACAAGTCAAGATTATGATTATTTCTGAATAATACAACCTTTGTAGAGTTTTCGCTTTAAACAATATATTTTACTTGCTACCTTTATAATCAGTTAAAATTTATTTTATTTTTTATAAATTCGTTTTATAGTTTAGTTAACTCTTAATTAAAACTTTAATTATGGTTAACAATTAAAACAATTAACAATTAATATAATTTTTTCGAAAAAAAAAAATCCACAACACCCATATCCTTCACCGGCCCACTGCCGCCACCTCCTTCCCAACGCCGGCGCTCCCAAACCCCCTTCCCCGACGCCGTTGCTGACCCCCTCCCCCAATCTCGCGTAGCTCATCCCCTCTTCCCTCTTCCCCCTAACCACCAACGACGATTCTCCCCCAAATCTCCCTTCCTCCGACCACAAAATCACCCATCCCCAACCTTAGAAAACCTTAATCGGACCTCGCCAGAGTTTCGATTAGGGTTTTCGAAGGTGGGGAAAGGGTTTTAGGAGGTTTTGTGGTCTTAGAAAGGTTCTATGCGATTGTTTTAGGTAGAGGAAGAGGATTATGGGGAGGGCTGGTAGCTAGGTGGGCGGCGCGGACATGGGGGGTCGGCTCCGGAGCTGGGGGAGGGGGAACTAGGCGCGGCCAGCGCCGGAGAGTGGGAAATGGGGTGGCAGCGGTGGTTGGTGGGTAAGGATTGTTTGCTTTTCAAAAAAATAAAAATAATAATAATTTAAATGGCAATCGGTTGGGATGTGTACTAACTAGGCTCACGTTTATTAAATTAAATCATTTTCCGCCAAAGTAATACTTTGTGAAAAAACATCATACAAACTAAGACTTTATTACTTAATTAGTTACCAATTAAGTCTTTCCATATTTATTTTCCATCCTTGAGTTTAAAACAATAGTTTAATGGAGGCTGTGCACACTTAAAGATTAAGACCTATTTTGGGTGGTGGATTATTCAAATCTACAATTTGGTGGTGACGTTATAATATGGTATCTCTTTCCTCAAAGAATCTAATTATTTGAATATATAATTCTATAAATGTGTTTAAGCTGTTTGTGTATAAGTTATTAAAACAAAATGTATTTTTCCATAGTAAAGAAACATTTCTATGTTTATGGGGTGAAATTGTACTTAGTTTTATCGACTTTGCTATTTCCTTCTTGCATGTGTTTCTTTAATTTCAAGTTTATGTGACTCAATGTGAGAGTGCGGTCCCTGAAGTTAACTAGTTTTATTAAATTATTAGTGATTATGTAGTGGATTTGAGACACTTATCTAAAGCTTAGTATTTGGATTCAGAATAAATTTGGTTAAGGCCCTGTTTGGTGGTAACGTTTGAGGTAGCGGTTTTAGTAGCGGTAAGCGATAGAGGTAGCGTTTAGGTAGCTTTTCTCAAACGCTAAAAATAGTAGCGTTTAGAAGTAGCGGGTAGCGTTTGACAAATTTTTATTAATTTTAAAACAATATTTATATGAATTTTGATATATTTTGGTATTGCAACCGCTACTTTTGCCAAACACTCATACTATCAACCGTTACTTTAACAGCTAACCTCTACCCACTACTAATTGACCACTACTCGCTACCTTAACAGCTACCAGCTACCGCTACTTTTGCCAAACAAGACCTAAGTAGTGATGTAAATAGCATGAGCCATGAGGCAATGACACTCCTAATTTTCTATTTTGTAATATCTCATCAATTCGATCTCTTAGGAAAAAATTTCAAAAATGATACTCGTACAACCTTTAAGCATTCCGCCAAAAACAAGTCAAGTTTTTTTATTATTTCTAAATAATACAACCTTTTAAGGTATCCTCTTAAACAAGTCATAATCGGTTATTAACCTGATTAACAAGTTATATACTTATATGGAACATGTATCATTATTTTATTGGTTTACAATTTAATTTACTTTTTTGTATCGATCTTGCTAACGAGCGCCCCGGGGCGTTAGTTAAGGATAAATTATATTGGTTGAAATGGTATTAAGTTAGGAATTCATGACAAAATCACGCGTCGTTTAGTGTAATTAATGTTAATTTTACACTAATATTTGCACTTTAATTCTCTTATCTAACGCCCCGGGGGCGCTCATTAGTTTAAAAAAAATCAATAAAATAAGAGAAAAATATAATCATAACCAAACACCAAAAGGGATTGGAAAAAAAAAAAAGTAAACGAACAACATATTTAATAAATTCCATGTAGATAGAAACATATAAAAATGATCATCATTAAGCATTTAAATTAAATATGAAATTGAACTCATATTGATTTTAGATTTGTATTGTTAGTTTCTATATATGTAGAGAGTAGAGACAATGTATGTAAATTTACCTTATGTATTTGATAGAGGAGAAATTGAGTCACCCAAGTTTGTTGCGATTGTGAACAAAATTTTTTTGTTTGTTTAATTTGACAGAGTTGATTATGACAGTGAACAAAAGTTTGGTAGGATTTTTTTAACCCACGTTTAAGTTCTTGGCAGGTTTTTTTTTTTTTTTTTTTTTTTTTTTTCTTTTAAATAAATATTTTTCATAAGTATTTTATAAAGGGTATTTTTAGAAAGGGAAAATTCCCAACCAAAAAAGGTTGTTCCTTTTAAAGAGTAACTTAGATAAAAACATAGTTATAACAAACATAAAAGATGGAGAGAGCAAATGAGGTTCTAAATTTGAGGTCGGGCGAGTCTGAAATGGTTTCAGAAATCGTGGTTAACCCACACGAGCCCCAAGTTGGACCCAGTTTCTATGAAGATTTTGCCCTTAGAGGCATCCGAGTCGACCGAGTTCAACCCGGGTTCATCTTCTGCACCTTCAAGGTCCCTCCTCGCCTAATTGTAAGCTTCCCATCAAATTACTATCATTCATCTCATTCTTTTCTGTATAATTTTTAAGTGATTGGATTTGGTTATAATTAATTGATTATACAAATGGGTGTCAGTTATAATTATACCTTATTGGGATTTTTGTATTATAATCTAACAAAAAAGTGCTAATTTGTGCTTAAATTAACCCAGATTATTTGTAATCAGATGGGTATTGATCTCTTAACTCTATTGGTTTCAAATATTTTCACTTTATGGTTGTATTTCAATTAACAACTCTGTTGTAATTTTTCACAATTTGGGGTTTGAAAAAATGCTTTAGAAATAATGGTGTTAATTTTGTAGTGGATAGATTAGTAATTTATGATTATAATAACTTGCAATGGTGAGGAAAATGTGGGTCTTTCTGAAAAATTTACTCTAAGCTTGAAAGGAATTAAGTTGGGGGCATTTGGACCTCCTTAGACTAGCTCATAGCAGGATCGGAACCGGTCGGTTTGTGGTATATTGTATTAAGGTTGTAGTGAATCTTACTTGGTGAGCTTTGATTAAATGATGATACTCTGATAGTGATATGGTGTCTTCACTTTTGGTGCCAAAGAAAATAGTTTTTAGGGCTGTTTCTGTTTTCAATCGACTTTGATGATGGCGCCAAATGTTAATTCTTATAATTATGATAGTGGTGATTGGTGCTTCCATTCTTATTAGCTTGTTAAATTTTTGATTTTCTGGAATACATGGAAATGTAGGAAGCCTGTTGATCATAAAGGGTTTTCCTAGTAGCTGCTTTAGCAAATGTTTTCTATAACTAGTTAAGAATTAGAGGCTATGTTTGACCTTTTGCTATAATTTGCTACTTGTATGTTTGAATGTTAGTGTGTGTATATATATCAATACATTGATCTATAAGGTTGAGAGTCATTATTCAACTGTGAAGGTTATCAAATTTTGTCTCTCATGCCTTTTTTCAGCACTCACATTTATGAAAAAGAATGATTCGTTCCTAGCTGAGTGAAGTATCATCAGTAGATTAATATTGGGCAACATTAAGGCTGTAACAGGCCATCTGCTTAGAAATTAGTATTGATACTGAAATGGTATGTGTCAGGCATTACGGAGTAATATGTTTGATTTTGTGGTTAGGCATTGTTTGCCTTCTTTCAGTATATGATGTCTAAGGTTGTTAACTAGCTATGGGTTGTTGCCGAGGATAAAAAATGTAGAAAGATGAGTATGAACTTCAATAAACATTTGGGACAACTATGAAACATAAACTTTTTCTCGCTGATTACTGTGTTTAATTTAATTTAATTCTTACAAGTGTTGCCTTGCTTGTCATGTCAGGTTCTTGGCGGTTTGCTACCTTAGGTTTTTCTATTATTTTGTCATGTGAAACTTCAAGAATTTGATTAAAGCCTAAAAGAACTCTCTTCTAGCATGACTTGTGCAGAGTTATGCTCTTTATTCATTGGATTCAGAATTCTTTCATGCTCCATGCTTAGATACCTTTCATTGGATGTATGAGTTTCCATAGATGTCAGCTCTTATTTAGTTCTTAACATAACTTATTGCAGGACCGAACAGGGAACCTGGCTGGTGGTGCAATAGCCAATCTCATTGACATAGTTGGTAATGCATTAATCTATCGACTTGGTCAGCCTATGAATGTATCGGTCGATATGTCCATCTCATATCTGTCAAATGCAAAGCTTGATGTAAGTAAGCATTGTTTTGCAATAATATGGAGTTTGCATGTTTATATTTTTAGTTTGGTGGTGACTGCTTGATGGATCTAGGAGCAAACCTATTGATCTGAAAATGATGGAGTGAATTCTTTAAGATTGAAATTGAATTCCCGTCCATATTAATTACCTAAAGCTGCCGAAGCTTGAATCTGAAGTTGGGATGTGGAGTTTGTTTCTTGAGTTCTTATATCTCAACTAATTAGTCGCCTTATCTTTAATGTTCTTCTTTATAGGCACATATTTAACATGTTTGGTCTAAATATTAGCAGGATGAGCTGGAGATTACATCAAAACTTCTAGGGAAAATTGGATCTGTTTCTGGAACTTCTGTAATCATCAAGAATAAGGTGTCTGGAGAAATTATTGCTGAAGGACGACATTCGTTGTTTAGCAGACTGAAGAGTAAAATCTGATACCAATCCCATGACTTTTACTATTCTTGTACTTGAATGACTATTGTATTAATTCCGATGCTTAACTATTGCATTGGATCTCACCTGTTCACTGATCCTAGTGATGTTGTGTTTATTATGATGTGTGTAAATAAGGAGTCACAGATAAATAAAAGTTAGGAACTACAACTTTAAAAGAATTTTACTTTTTTCATGCTTTTGTTTTAAGTGCTCATTAGTTTGTACAAAGAACTTAGATTCTAATGGATTTTTTAAACATTTGCAAAATTTTAATGCAATGAGTAAGTTTAGGGTTTGAGCTTGATTGATGATGTTAATGAACACAACTCATTAATTTCTCTCAGACCTCACCCCCCCCCCCCCCCACTCTCTCTCTCTTGCTGGGGCTTGGGCATGCAAGGAGATACAGAAGTTTATGAACGCAGCTTGCATACATATGGAATTCAGGATCTCTAGTGTACAAATTGGTGTTATCTAATCCTCCCCCACCCCTCTCCCCTCTTCCTTTGCGTGAATTACGTTTTGGGAACGTGTAGTGGTGTGGTGGAACTCTTTTGGATTAATTAGTAATTAGGTGTGTTTCGTGTATTAGAAATGCTCCATGAATTAGGCAACACTTGTATAAACATTATAGATCGGAGAATATTTGAGTTAAGATAGCTGATTCTTAGCTTGAATGCCTTTAAATTGTTCTTGGTAGATTAGAAGAGTCATTGATTCCCTTGGGTCTTTGTAGTTTGGAAGCATATTTCATATATTATGCAGGATCATCCTGTATTATCATTATCTTGTGAGAAGACCTCTACTACAGAGATCTAACAATGAGACCAATACATCTGCATCTTTCTATTTTTAGGACCTTTGTGGATATTTTTTAGTAACTTCAGTTAGTCTTGAATCTCGAGTGTTTGTTCTCTCAGTAGAACTGTAGAGTCAACAGCCCCAGGGCAGCTTGGGGGACTGACATGAACCCGGGAATTCAAGGCGAGCTCTAGCTGAGCCACAACACACCCTTCTTGCTCTGTTATGTTGCTTTTGTGTGCTGAGTTATGAATTTGCTTATAATGACTGTATGATGGATGTGTGTCATGGATTACCTATCTCAATGGAAAGTTATTTGTAAAATGAATAGAGTAAGGGAAAGGAAAAAGAAACATGTACTTAAAATAAGCGCAAATGATAAAATCATCATGAAGCTTCAAGTTGAGTTGATCATATTCATATATAATCGTTATGCATCCATATCAACTGTCAGAACCCTGTTACTGGAAATAGGTTGTTGATTAGTTTGTTAAAGATTGGTTACTTTGTTTTTTTCAACTTGTGTAATTGTACATGTACATATTTGGTTGAAATAAGAGCATAACAAGTTGAATATTTCGACAAGATTTCTTGTGAAAAATAGAAGTATTTCTTGAATTTATGTTGTTATCAAGAGAAAGCATCTGTAGAAGTTATTGCTGAAGACAAGATTTGTACTTTAGTGATTTGGAATGACTGCATAATATTTATTTATTTTATGAAGCATATGTTATGGACTTGTGGTACGAGTACTATTAGTAAGTAGTGCAGCCGCTGGTTAATGCCATTGAAATAACTCTTTGATTTTCTCACATTTTGCTCAAGTTTGAATCTTCTCTTCTTTCTCATACACCATTGTTTTTAATTTAATTTGATCAAACTTCAACCTTATATACATACAATAATACACTATCATTTTAAATTTGATTTTGATCAAATATAAGTGCATCATATGGGTATTCGTAATACTGTATTTTATTAATGTATAATTTTAATATTTTGCTTCCATTACAAAATTTAAAATATATATTCTTTTTTGATTTGAACGAAGTACAAAACTAGAGAATAAAAAAGCAAACTACGACACCTAATTATGGAGGAATAAAGCGTGTCATTGTTACACCCCTAGCATCATCCTCTAAAATACGATTCAACTCTACCGGATAAAAAAAACCACAAATAAAATTATACAGTGCCTTGATTAAAAAAAAAAAAATACTACTGTAATTTTTTTTTTTTTTGAAGTGAATTTATTCTTTCGATAAATCAATTAGATCTTAAATGAATAACAAAGTCCAATAAACTTAAACATTTTAGTTGGACAACTAATTACTCCGTAAAAATTTACTCGTAAGACGATAAGAACACAAAGAAAACGGGATTAGGCTCCTTTAATCCATTTTACTATTCCAATTTACTACGTACAATTATTGTACAATTGTACTATAAAACTTTGAAACACAATTTCTCTCTCCTCTACCAACCTGAGTCTACACTCTGAGCAACCAACCATGAACACCTTTGCCTCTCCTCCAACATTGAGCAACAAACTCCATTTTCCCCCAATTCCACCATCTTCAAACCCTAATTTCCTCTTCTTCTCCAATCTTTCTCTCTCCTCCGCTCATTTCGCTCCTCCTTCCATCACCAGACGCTCGATTCTTCCTCCCTTCCTCGCCGGAGCACCTTCTCCGATTTCGCCGGTAATCAAGCTCCGGCATGGTTTTCCGTTGTTACTCGCCGGAAAAACTAGGGTTACTCCTGGAGATTCTTCCTTCCTCGCCGATAATGGCGGAGGAGAGAGAATGGAAGCGCCGAGTTTTTTGGAATTTTTGACGTCTGAGAGAGTGAAGGTGGTGATGATGCTGGCTTTGGCTCTCGCTCTTTGTAATGCTGATCGTGTTGTTATGTCCGTCGCCATTGTTCCTCTTTCTCTTTCTCATGGTTGGAGTCGAGCTTTTGCTGGCGTTGTTCAGGTCATTCATCTTTGATAACTCCGAATTAATTTTCTGTATTTCGAATTTCTTTTAATTATCTTGATTTTCTTACAATTTTAACAATTCTGCAGGTTTCAATTACTTATTAATTTTTGTGTAAGTCTTGTTTCCATTTTTGAATATGTATGATGAATAATTTGTTGTCATTGCTTTCACTTGTGATAATATTGAGTAATTTGGACAATTTTCATGGATACGTGAAACTGCATTGAGTTGCTTGCTTGTTTAACAGTTTTGCAGATTTAAATTCGTTGTTCAATTCTTATTCAATGTCATATTTCTGGATTTGTGTGTATATATATTTTGGCATCATTTTTAGCTTGTGAGTTGTGACAATGTCGTTTTTTTTTGGTTACTTTACAAATTACTGTTGTAATTTTTTTATATTGATAACTTGATAAGCACTAAACACTTGCTTTTTTTAATACCTTTGAATTTATGCTTTAGAATAGTTAATATCTCAATTTAAATGTGATTATCGTTGTACTGGAAGTTTAATTGCTCTATTTGTTCCGAAAACACGTATTATTTTGCTCCTTATGGTATCACTTACCTGGAGGGAATGTTAAAGGTCGATTACAAAACATTTTAAATACTTGTGGATTATCTATATAACGCAAATTGAGTTAGTTGATGGATAGAAGAGTGGGATGCATGGTGGAATTCCTCTTGACCCCTACATGGCTACATCTACTAGCTTCTTTTTGGTCTATGCATCTCAACATTTTTCGTGTACCTAAAATTTAGGAAAATGGCTGAAGTGCCTAAAGATTTAATTCTGTGGGCCATTCAATATGAATGATTAGCTTTGTTATGACTTCCTAAAACTTACCAAGAGCAAGAAAATAGTAGTTTGTGACAATTTAATGAAAACTCATATATTAATTCAATGTACGACTAACACAGTAGCTTAATATCACTAGTTTAGGAATTAATCTTAAGTTAAATAAAGAATACATGTTTCTTGTTTCTGCTGCTGCTGCTACTGCTAATATAAGTTACTATTGCTGCTTGCAGTCATCTTTTTTGTGGGGATACCTTATATCACCAATAGCAGGTGGAGCTCTAGTGGATTACTATGGTGGTAAAGTTGTCATGGGATGGGGTGTTGCTTTGTGGTCCTTTGCTACTTTTCTAACTCCTTGGGCAGCTGAAAAGTCTCTCTGGGCTCTGCTTGCCATGCGAGCTATGCTTGGCATTGCAGAAGGTGTAGCTCTTCCTTCGATGAACAACATGATATCAAAGTATGGATACCAATGTCTATTTATTGGAATTTGATGTTTACTGGTCATTTATATCCTGCTTCAAACTTTATGATTTATATTTTTTGTTTGTCGTTTTGTGCACTCAAGAATGCAATTGTGAGTGAGTAATGGGCTTCTCTGTTTGACCTTTTCTTTCCAGGTGGTTTCCTAAAGCAGAACGAGCAAGAGCTGTTGGAATAGCAATGGCTGGGTTTCAGCTTGGTAGTGCTATTGGACTAATACTTTCTCCAATCCTAATGTCCAATGCTGGTGTGTTTGGACCATTTGTGATATTTGGATTATTTGGATTTCTCTGGGTTGTTGTATGGCTGTCTGCTACTTCTAGTATTCCAGAGAGAAGCCCTCAAATCTCTGCGTATGAACTAAAATACATACTAACAAAGAGGCAACAATCTGTTCCATCCAATGCTGGGAAGGCACACAAAGCTAGAGTGATCCCACCTTTCAAGCGGCTGCTGTCTAAGCTTCCTACTTGGTCACTTATGGTTGCCAATGCTATGCATAGTTGGGTAATGATCTAGATCTGATCCTCTATCTTGGCATTATATATGTCATTGACTGCTTTACCTGGTACAATAAAATTACTTTTGTATCTCCTTGCTAACGCAAGTTTTTTTTTTCCTTTCTTGTGCAGGGCTTCTTTGTTATTCTTTCCTGGATGCCGTTGTATTTTAACAGTGTGAGTATTAAAGTTTGGCTTTCTGTGTGTGAACTCTGTGAAGTCAAATATGTGATGTGATTTTTCTTTGAATGGTTATTTGAATGTGGTTGCAGGTATATCATGTTGATCTTAGACAAGCAGCATGGTTTAGTGCTGTCCCATGGAGTATGATGGCGCTTGTGGGATATTTTGGAGGTGCTTGGTCAGATACGTTGATCCAGCGTGGTTTCAGTATCACTTTGACGAGAAAAATCATGCAGGTTGGTGCTTATGTATATATGTATTTCAATCATTTGTGTGATAGGCCTCCTTTCTCTTGTTAAACAGATTTTTAGAATTGAGTGCCTATATTCTCTTCTTATCTAGTTGACTTGTCCTTTGAAACCATTTTTCTTAACTTTGTATGAGTAGCCGTGTAAATCAAAGCAATTTCATACTTGTTTTGTAGTCGACTAGTTGTGCTTTGACTTACTCT